GAATCAAAACAATATACTGATATCCCCTGGTGAACTTCAACAGGGGCCCCACCAGGTCTTTTGAAATGTGAGAAAACAACACATTGACTATAGTGAGAAGTATTATTGCTCTTTTAAAATGGGGCTTGGTGCTCATCTTTTGGCATTTAATGCATCTAGAATTATTGTCTTCTACTGTCCTTACCACAACTGGCCAATGGAATCTCCTGTGATAGCGTCACAGGAGGAGAATACCAAGTGAACAATTTGGCAAGTGGCAGGCTTAAACCCACAACCTAAGTTCATCTACTAGGAGGCTTGTTTCCTTCTTCTCATTTTTTAATTAGAGCATTTGCTGAATTTTAGATAAATGTATGAAATGTATGAAAGATTACAACTATGTGTTTCACCTTTGTTTGGTTAATAGCTTTGTAGCAACTAAAACCATATAGTAGTTGTAATATTTAGATTTTGTCATTCACCGCCCACACCTTCAGTTTCTATTATATTGTATGATAAGATTTTCTGATATTATAACATTCTTGGACAGAAAATCATATCGCTAGATTAAAGACAAATATTTTGACATATCGGCATCATTAAACTAGTGTGCCGTTACCTAATTAATAACATCATTTATACAACATAATTATACAATACAATTGTGACAGTTTGGTGAGAATAAGTAAGGATTAGTCATTTCTAACTTTCAAGACGATTGTCATAAATGTACTTTGGATCTCATAAAACACATTTGTGAAGAAGTATTTTTCAGCCAGAAGAGGATCAGAAGTAGCTCACTGCAGATCAGAACCCAAGCCACCTGAAGATGTGTTCAATTTTATCAACAGCTTAAACAGTGTTTCTCCGTAGTTAAGTTTGTTTGTGATCATTACATTCACAGCCAGATGAATGAATGTGTAGAGTTAGGTTTGTTTTTTTGCAACGACAGACAGTGTTGAGCTGAATAGATGTTGGTAAAGTGAATAGGAACACTGGGGACCCAGCGGACGATTTCTACTGCCAGATTTCCCCGCCAGGACATTTTCTGTGGGGAAACTCACAACATGTTGGTTGCAAAGGGCATTTTCACACAACCCACTCACCAGACAGATCGCTGATAAAATCCACGTTCCGTTCCGTGACAGCAGTTGTTCACTGCCAAAGTTTTTCAAATTATTTCTGTAAAAGCTGCTTATGACAAATCAGGATGGTTTGGGTTTTTTTCAGTAACCAAATCTTCTTGGTGTAGGTCATAGACAGACAATGTTATTGGCAAATAAAGCATGTGGTTAAGGGTTCCCAATGTAAACACATAATAATGGTCACTTTCTGGTAACCTCATTTCATCACCGTGTTCATTGTTTATAATATACATCAAATCGGATGTTGGCGTCTTAAATACACTTTGGATTTGAATCAGAATATTTGCCATCTCATATTGACTCCAATCATCTATTCTCTTCTTCTTAAAATACTCAAATTTTCGAATTTTTGCTTTAAAGCTTTATTACACATAGAAATATATAGCTGTTGGAAGAATGCTCTTGTATACAAATGACATGTTTCCAAATTTGCAATTTGGCGTGGAACTTCTAGTTTCTATATTGTATGGCACTACTATGAATATCTCTGTGAATGTCCCAGTATTTAGCAGTTTAGTTTTATCTTGTTCTTTCATTTTAAAGCCACTCACTAGAAAGCCAACCTCCCCCTGTGAAAGCATCATGTGGTTCTCTGTGCAGAAAGAGTGAGTTGGTAGAATGTGATACATGACTCCCTGTGTGCAAAGATTCAATAATACTTTAAAATAGATTTTCTTTTTTCTGTCAACTTGAGCAAGGCAAATGTCATTAGGACAGGTTTGCCAGAGATAAATGTGGCTACCTTGGGATGTTTCAAACCATTAGAATCAAGCACAGAGGTATCACTTTTCCATGGTTGAGTCTAGTATGCGAAAACTACACTCACCTCAGTGGATCCCGGTGGATATTAAGCTAAACATGTTACATTCCGGTGGGTATCTTAGTAAAGAGATCCTCTTTATTACACTTAGTCAAAGGCACAAAAATGATATGGGTGATGTGAAGCTCTTTAGACGATTTAACTCGGTAGCTTTGTAAGAACGGCTGCAGCTTGTCCACACCGCTTGTAATTTGCAGGTTCTTTACACTGTATTGTGTCCACTGACAGCTTTGTGATTTGTTTGCATTTCATGGGTGTCTAATTGATTGAGATTAAAAGAGGATGGTTTGTCTGGCCGGGAAGGAAAATTCTTGACTGATTTGTGTTTGCCGTGCTGCACCGTTTTGTGCAAGGGTGTGGACCCTCTAACAACACACCTAACATGAGGCAACACAGGCCACATGCTGCTCTGCATGCTGGTTCACATGCACCGCGTGACACCGCAGCTGAATAAAGCCATCACTTACTCACTGAACAACTGGGCTGGTGGCGTTGCTGCCTGTTCCAGGGAGCTAATGTAACATATCCTCTTCATACAGTTTGTTAGAAAATGAATTGCAACATGAAGAGAAAATCTTTGAGCATGGATTGTTTTAACATTCATCCCTTATGCCAGAGTTATTACATCATAATTCAATTACTTATTTTTATCATTTAAAACATGTATTCAGAGGATTCCCATTTGTAGTTGGGATTCTTTGAAGCTATTATAATTGTATGAGCAAAATTCCCGAAATGACTTGTTTTAATTAAACTATACATTTGAAAGGTACAATAGAAGTGGGTTGAATAACAAAGGAAAATATTACGTCAAAGTCAGCGAAGTGGTTTTTATTTCCCGCTGCAAGCTAAAGCTAAAGTACAAAGTCCAAGAACAGAACTCCTGTCCGACTTCACTTGCTTTGACGGTGGACCACCATGTTATAAATAATGTATTAAAGGATTTGCAATGCAGAGAAAGAGAGCTGCTCTCAGAAGAATGAAAGTTCCTTTGCTAGTACATGAAAAAAACATGTTAACTCTTTGCAGTCCGGACCCAATCTAAGTTATAAAAGACTTCATACATTTTCTTTTGTGTTGTCCAGGTTAAGAGAGTGTTTGGTTTCCTTTTTTACAGTTTGTGGTAGCTTATTTTTTCTGCCAAAAGGTGTTTGAGGCCTACTGGGACCACTTAAAAGTTTATGCAGAGCACTAGCCAAGTTGGACAAAAAAGCCTTGAAGTATACACACACTGGCCCCTTTCTCAGAACCTCTCAGCTCTGGCTAGGGGGAGTGTTGTTGGTTTATGAGAGGGAAAATAGCCCCAGCCTTCCGCAAAAGTGAAATGGGATTAAGGCCTTTGTTAGGCCTACAATGGTGAGGGGAATTAGCAATAGTTGTAGGCACTTAGAAGAGCTCTCACACAGAAGCTTATCCCAGATTTTGCACAATAATCATTTGAATATCAACAGTGTTTTGCAACTACAGCGCTAATGTATAAGCCTCTCTCTTTTAGATATCAAAATCCAGAAAAAAGGGATTTTTCACCAATGGCCACATTGCAAATATTTACGCTCTTTATGAAGAATCCTATTTTTGTGAATCATTGTTTAGTAGAAAAGACAGTACTCTAAAGGTGAGGTTTGGGACCGAAGTTTTACATATTTCATTAGTTGTTGTGATGCAAGTTTCCTGTATTTATTTATTAATTTAAAAGAGAAGTAAATCCCGTAAGTGATTAAATAGTTTACGGACTATGTCACGTATCTACAACAAGTAATGTTAAACCCAATATCACTCTCTATTTTGAAATTTTAGCATTGCTACCACTGCATAATATATTTTTTTAAATGTCCGATGTTTCTGCCCAACTTTGCATCATTTCATAGCAAATTCCCAAAAATATAGGCTATAGTGAACTTCCATCTATTGGTGTTTTCGCCGACATTCTATCCATAACAAGATGAAAACAAACAGCTTTAGAAGGAATCAAAATGTCCAATTAATACATGAAAACCTAAAGCACAACGCAACGCAAACGTAGGTTGTGTGATTAAAACATGTCATGCACATTCGCACTGCTTCTCCTGCCGTAGTGTAGTGATACGTTTCTGTCCATAGTAGCATAGAATCACAGGATCCCATATTCTGACAGCAGACTTATCTGGGATCAGACGGATCGACTGACGAGCATCATTCTCATGTAGAAGGAATAATTCAGAGCTTCTGCCTCAGTTGAGCCTCACAAGACCGGCTTCAAAAAGTGTGATGGCCTCAGCATTTTTGCCCACACAGTGAAAACGTATTGTCCGAATCACAAAACATTGAGTGAGATCAGCAGACTTGTCAAGAGGCCCTGGCTTGAATATGAATGATGAGAGAAGAGCAGGGTGGTCCCGGTGCTGTTTTGGTGTCAGGCAGGTGAAAATAAGCTCAACTGTCCCCGCCAGCTGCCCATCGCTAAATCAGAAAAAAAGGAGCAGGAAATTTAGAATTTTTTTTTAAAGAGCTGTTTAGCACTTTCTAGTAAATTTACAACAGAAATGTGCCAATTTGTTTTCTGCAGACCTGGGTGTAATTGTCAAAATGTATTGAATTTCTCTGGTCTGATTACAATATTTGAATCCCCAACATGTAATCATAACACCTTTTCCTCAAACGTCATACTTACTCACTGAAATCAAAAAATGCATAAGGTGGTTTTCAATGTGAAAGCGTGCATGCGTTTTCTGTCAAAAATTAAGAAATTAAGACATCACACCTCCCCTTCTTTCCTGTCCTCAAAACATGCACGCACGCTAGTTCAATTCACTCGAGTGTCTGCATAGTTTCTGCATTCAAATGGATACAATGATGCACAAGATGAATAAAGTTATCTCTGCAGCTGAAAGGGATGTTGCTGGTGGGAGGGAACAGGGAGGTTCCCTATACGCCTGAGCTGAAAAGAGCTCAGCTTTGAGGACCACTGCTGCAAGGGTCAGGGCCCAGCTGCTTTTAGGGGTGAAAGGGACACCGGCGGGCTGGACTGACTCAGGAAACCTAACAAAACCAATCCCGTCAAATAAAGACATCCCAGATCGGACACTGACAGATCCCTTCCCCGAAGTTTCTGCACACACTTCACACATTCAAACTTGCTCTGGTTTGTATCATGAATCACAGGCAGAGTTCTATTTCAGTATAAATACATCTTTCTTTTTTATGTTTTCTTAATTTGTTTTGCTGTCAACATTTCTACACAGGTAGGAGATTTTTTTTTCAATATAATTTCAATGTGTCCAGGATTTTATAGTTGGATATTTTTAACATACGGTTTTATCTCAGAGTTGTATAGTTATTATCAGATGGATATGATGGTTCTTCACATGTTTGGTAAAATCACTGCTTGATAAGTGGTTTGTTGATAGATTTTACTTACTTTGGAATTGCTGTGTTGGTGGTGCTTTTATTTGGCTGTCATTTGAAAAAAAAAAAAAGATATTAGGCCTTCCCTCGTTTCATAGGGTGCAGAACTTTTGAATTCGAGGGGGGTAAGAAGGATAATAATCAGGCCACATTATAAGGAATTGATGGTTCATTTTCCCTGTCAGCAGTAACAGAGCTTTGCCCAAAGATTTGCCGACCTGTGAAGATGGGGTTCAAAGCCAATTTCCATGTTAAATTCTCCACACTGTCCAGAAATCTCTGACTGACTCTTGTTGATCAGAGTATGTGACAAGCTTGTCTCATGAAACAGCTCCGCTTGTGTTAGTAGATAGAAGTCTTCCATTGTACAACAAACCGAGCGGTTTGATTGTCGTAACCGTGTTGTTTTCATGCATAGCCAGAGGCAATGACATAAAGACAAAAGATAGCTGTGGACTGTCACAATAGGAGATACATCCCATTATATTTGTCATACAGTAATTAAACAAACAGTAAAAAACAGTTTTTTAATTTTTTATGTTCTATTCTCCCTTTCATCAAATGCGTGTCAAGTGTCGTTACAAAGCTTTACTTCTTGCCAGAAAATCTGTTCAACCGTTCATCATCAGCTGACATTTAAATTTTCCTTCAGGCTGTTTTTTCTTTTCTTCTTCGCCTATGTGCCGAGGCTACTTAAAGACGCAAATTCGGCGAGAAGAATAAAGAGCTCATCGGGAAGGCGAGAATTCATTTGATGGGATGTTAGATTAAGAGTTTTTTTTTTTTTTAAAGGAGAAAAAGTGGCCACGTATCATCCTGTGTTTCATGAGGACCGCAGCGTTCACGTCACTCTTTATCAAGCTGCCCACTGCCTGAATGCTGCTGTTTGCAGCACGCACAAACACATTACCGGAAATGTGCAGGGAGGGACTATTTTACTCCTAAGTTCTGCACATAATTACCATGTACCCCAATTTTTTTTTGGTAAAGCCATTTATCTTAATTGCGATCACCTTTACTTTCAGAGGAGAGGTAACTGGAGAACAGTCTCATTTTTTTGGACTTTGTTCTTTGTTCACTGTTATCACACGACTCTGTGTGACTGCGTCTGTGCTGTAAGCTGCTACCCTTCCTCCACTGTGCCGGTTATATTATATCCATTGAGATGCCTGCTGGCTGCACAGCATTAAGTGTGGTAAAAACACAATCTTGGTGGGGTCTGTGCGACTAACAATAGATAGAGGCATGATGACTTATTAAACACAGCCAACCGGCAGCGTGGCTTTTCTCATTACCTTTTCAATTCCCAGCCTATAAAGCCTATGGGTCTGGTGACAAAACTCTTGCCATGTAATTCTCTCTCCGGCTGCTTTCATCAGCCGATTTCGTGGAGAAATATGAAGCTGATTTTATCGTGCTCTATAAATTCACAAAAGGCCCTCAAGTTGCCCCCCCATGGAAGACATACCTCATCTCAGCGATATGCCGCCACTATTGCTGATCCCAAGCATTTGATAGCAGTACCTTTCCTTTTTTTAATGAATTGACAGGCGGCAGACATGAGCCCCATAGACACAGCATTTTTAATACGCTTGTTTACGCCAAGCTTCCCAGATGAAATCACGTATCTATCATCTCTTTCCCTCTCAATAAGTGATACATATATATATTAAAACCTATACTGCAGCTTTACGACTATATCAATTTTGTACCGTCGAAAAAAAGGTTTTGCATTCGGTTTTGTATCGTAGCCTTAAATTCTACAACTTCAAGTATATTTATTTTTATAGAGACTATTTTTTATTTTGCCCATCATGTATGTTTTATTTTGTCAACACACATATAACTCTTATCCAGAGTGCTCCAAAAGTCTTTATTCCTGCAGGAATTATTTCATTAATACACAACACAGGTAAATATTAATAACTCACAGCCGTCAAGTCATTTGAAAATAATAAAGTGACATATTACACAAACTACAAATTAGTTATTGGGGAACCAGAGGAAAAATAAGCAATAATAAGACAGTTGCTGTCATTTACTGTCAGATCTTATGTGTTTGAATTTGCTTCTGTTTTGCCCAGTTGTATTCACTTTCCTCTCATCTAATTCTCTCATGTGGATTCTGGCACATTCGCAGTATCCTGGCATAGAGCAGGGATTGTTTCCTTTGAAATGTTTTGACTATGGTGTCATTTAAGAAAACTTTCATCATGCACGGGTACCTAATCAATTGAAATTCAGCTGCCTTAGCCCCAAGCTTTGGTGTAACTTAGACCAGCTTTCATCAGCTCAGCCCTTTTTAAAAATAGAAATCCTGCTATGAGGAGATTTTCAGTTTGAAATGGATATGCAGCTTCTCCTCTGTATTTAAAACACTACAAACAAAACTTTTTATCCATAGATTTTATTTACACAATTTAAATGATCAGCACAATATGATGATCTGATTGCAGGATGGTTAAAGTTAGTGTAGATGTTTGTGATTTATAATATTTCTGTATACAAGCGTTAATGCGCCATGTGTCAGTTAGCACTTATAATGTCCGAATTTGATCTTATCTTGGGGTAACATCCCCCCTCAGTCCTAATTAGATTTCCTACATTAAAAGGTGTGATAATGCCTCAAGGTGTGTTCCCTTCTATCAAAACATTTCTGCAAATATTCCCTTCTGTTAACTCTTTGTGGGCTGACGTTACATAATTATTTCATTTTTGCTATCTTCACCTCCATAGGGGAAATATTATCTCCAATAATCATTGTCATCATCATGATTCTCTTCGAGGTCTGTTGGCTCCAAATAAGTAATTTAGTTGTAAAGCAGCTTCATTTATTTTGCCTATTCATTTTTCTTCCTATCATATATCTAAATACAAATCTTCATTTTATAACTGACAGCTTATTACCTCTGAGCACATGCTGATAAATTTAATTCCACTGAGTTAGCTTCCATTTTCGGATCCCATTATCCACTAATGTGGCAGCAGCGTGTGGGAGGAGAAAACTTACAGGACAAGAACTCAGAAAATAAGATGACTTGTCTTTACATATAAATATAAATGGATTTAAATGTTATTATTATTACTATTACTTTTGTTATTTATTATTTATTTATTATTTTGTTGTAGTATTAGAATATGTTACTATATTGGACATGCATTTTTAAAATGCTTTATAACATTGAATTAATTTGTCAGGATATATTTAATATGATTTAGTAACAAATAATATATTTTAATACCTAGAAGATTTATTTGAAAAGTATAGAGGTCATAAGTGTAAAATGTTGCAATTCTGGACATTTATTTGATTATTGTACACTGACGTTTTAGGGAAAGGGAAGTTGCAGCAGTGCATTCCCAGAGTTTTAGTGATGAGAGTGTTTTTTTTTTTTTATTGTTAGCATTTCAGTCCATTCAGAATCATAGTTCCCTTTTAAACACAAACCTTCTAAGAGAGCAGCATTATGCCACAGTTCTGGGCTATTTAGGTGAAGTAAGGAAGTAAGTAAACAATTATTATTAGCTTTGAAGTTGGCCTGAATAGCACTCAATTAACAATGTGGCTAATGAGCCCATTAAGGATGAAAGTGTTCTCAACAGGTATGAGAGCATACTGCTGTTTTTGGAGTCTCAGTTCTAAGCACTGACTGCAGCATGAATAACGGTGCTCTTTCTCAATCGCTTCAAAGGCCAGACCTCCACAGCCCAGAGAGCAGACTTAAATAGAGCTTCTCTCCTCAATGGAAGAAAATGTAAATAGATCAATATTTCAAGTAACAAAAATATTTCAAAACTACAACAAAAGTAGCAGGCCACTAAGCCGTACAAACGTTTTCAGTTGTCGACACATTTGTTGTGGTGAAAATGAAATCTTCCTTTAAATTACTCAATAAACACCCAGAAAGCCCCAAAAATAAATGTGCGTGTTTTAGAAATTCGAAGTAATTACATTTTTAGTTTGAGTTAATATGAGCTTGACTCAGTCTATTAGTAATTACGACGCAGAACAAACACGGCTTGTCTGTGGTAAAGAAAGAAAACTGAAAGAAAGGCAGATTCTGAGCCTTTCTGCAGCTCCAGCGTTTCCTCTGAAGGACCACTGAAATACTCTGAAACCCTCACGCGTGCATTTATTCACGTTATTTGCTGCTGGACTCCAAAAGTTCTTGTTAACTAGCAACAACAAATCTCTTATTCTAACACTCTTGTTTGTTTGTTTTCTTTCAAACAAAAATGAAAATAAATTGAAAAATATGTCATAGATAATCATTTCTCTTCAACAACTTGCACCAGCACAAATGACCCGACACAATGATCCTCTGTGGCAACACCATGACACGTTGTTTGATGTGTGTGTGATGAGTGCACGTCTTTTTATTCTCTGCCATCAAGCAAGAAACAAAATACGTCCGCTAAATATTGAAATCAGCTATTATTCATGGAAATTATTTCTAAACGGAAATAAAAGAAACAATAACTGAAGAAATAGGGCCAAAATTGCATATAAAACCATGCACCAAAAACGACAACAAGTAAAGCAAATGATATTACAGTGTGTTGAATGAATTTATCTATTTGTAAAACCTGCTTGTCTGCAGAAGTTTCAGAATGTTATCAGTAGTTTCAGCTGAAGAATAGCTCGAGGTGTTTTGAGTGTAAATCCGACTAAAGCTGCCAGCACTGACATACACAGCATATGCTAAATACAGATAAGAGTATTTTTAATAGATCTGCAAAAAGTCTCCCCACATAGCTCAATGGATGTGCTTTGAATGTAGTTGATAAGTTGGCTTAAGCTGAATGCTGTATCCCAACGCAACATTGTGCTACTGGGTGAGCCCATCACAAACTGGCCTTCCAGTAAAGACCACTTCCAGGGGAGGGATTATAGAAAAGCCTTCGAGATCAGCTTCATGTCTTACTAGAGTTTCTGATTATAAATTGTGCTATGCTACAGAAAAAAAAACTAGCCGTTGCAAAGGATCATATGGAGAAATACCGTTAAGCCATTTATTTACCTACAATGTCAAACTAAAAAAGCAGCGGTGTGAGTGACTTTCTTCTAAATTTCCTTAAAGAAACTCTTGAGTCGTTTTAGTTATACATTCCTCGAGTTGTGATTGTTTACGATATGATTTTATTCATTTAAATACATTAAAAAGCAGGAAAAAAAATTAAACTATGTAAAAGAATTTGAAGAATTTTGTCCTTTAGGAACTGAAAACTTGTTTATTTGTTTTAAATTCAGTTGAACTTCCTGGCATGATGAAATCCTGGTATCAACAGATAGAAATAGATATATAGATATAGATAGATAGATGGTCTTTCTTTCTTTTTAGCTTTCCTCTGGTCATCTGATGTGTGGCTGAAGAAATGAGGTGGGGGGGGGGCAGATAAGCCTCTTTTATGCTTCCAAGCCACTTAAAGAGCTGAAGCACCAGCTTCTGTTGCTACACTGTGAGGGAAGAAAACAAGTCATTTGCGTCGTACAAAATGGCTTCTCTCTAAAATGTGTGTCCCTCATTTACTTGATATATTGTGAGATCTTGCATTGCTGGTCGAATGTTCAAAAATGAGGTTTCTTTGAATGCAGCAATATTTGTTCATCTTAAAGACCCAAAATATGGTTTGGTTTTTACTTTAACTTATTTTGATGCTTCACACTGATTTTATTACAATCAAATGATCTTTCTTTCTCATCAGTGTAAATGTTTGTTCAACCAAACCTTTTATTGGAGTGACTTGAGTATCAAAAGAAGACATTTTTTATTTGTATAAATATATATATATATATATATATATAAATATATTGTATTTTATTCAGTGAAATGGAAATGTCCTCGGTTCTTGCTATATGTCATAAGGGCATCTCTTCTCTGCCTTCTTAATAAGGCAGTTCTGCAGCCTCTACTGTAATATATTTCCCCAATAAAGCAATTCCAGAGCCATCCTGGCCTTTTGACCACCACTGAGAACGTGGAAAGCAGCGCGCCGCCTTTGCTAACTAGGCTTACTCTCTAATATTAGATACCTGTCCCCTGGCTTTTCAGAGGCAGGCTTAGCAGTTGATATTTTCATTTGGTCCTGCCAAGATGCGACACCCCCGCTTTAATCTTGTGTTTGACGTTAAGCGCTCTGTTCATGAAAAGTCTCAGTGAACTCCAACCTTAGGGTGGTGCTGTCACACAAAAGTGATGTGGTGGGGGAGTGAAACTGGCTGGTCTATCCTTGACCTCTCCCATTGGCCTGCCAAAGTCTTTCCCCTGCCCTCCTTAATCAGGTGGGACCCTTCCCTTTTAGAGTGGAGGATAGTATATTCTCAGCATCCAGCTGCGTCTTTTATACTAAGGGGCACAGATGTCCACGGATGGAGACATGGCAGAGAAGCTGTGATGTAAGAGAGTCACTCTGGTTACAGAAAAACAATTATTATTGTACATTTAAAATGCCAGTGAAACTAATTTAAAATCAAGAAACGCGTTCATCTCTTTCATTTTTTAATTTTTCGCAGTAACAAAAAAATCTCCATGACATCGTTCACCAACGAGGACAGCTAAATCCAACGTCGCAATAGAAATGCTGGATTTGATATGCAGGACTGATGGTCTGAATGGAGAACAGAGTTCAATCGGGTGAACCCGTTTGTAGAGTGGCAATTACTTTTCACCATTTCATCTGAGCTGGAGAGCGTCGGTATACATTTGCAGGTCTTAAACGTGCCTGAAATTATCAGAGGGAAGACAAAGTAGGAGTAGACTAATGAATTTCTTGGGTAACTACCCCTTCATCCAGCTTCAGGTATTGTGCTCAGCTTCCACGTTAGCGTACATCTTGATGTTGAGGACAAACAAGCCCCTTCGTTGCAATCGTTAGGATGAGTTTCCCTACTGATTGATGTGTGGAATCAATTGCTCCCCATAGCATCCATGTCAGGCTATTACCACACAGCCGGGTAATGATAGGCTGCTCCCGACAAGATTATAGAGCTCTGTCACAAAGACTGACCTGGTCTGCTGTAATTGAGAGTAGCTTCATTCTTACTCTGTAGGTAAACAAAAAGAAATGTCTTCTTAGTAGTGATTTCTTCGCGCTGTAACCTGATGAATTATTAATATTATTGAACTTCTGAATAAGAAATTGAGTTGTGTAGCATTCTCAATTTCATCTTCAAGAGTTGTGCTGGAAATGTAATGTTAAATTTGAAAAAAAAAAGAAAAAATGATTTTTGTCTTAATGAGGAATAAAAACGACTTCATCTGTCAGTATTATATTAAAACCAAATACCTGATCAGAAGTCAGTGTCAATGCTTTCCAAAGCATATATATATATATATATATATATATATATATATATATATATATATTTGAAGTAATCAAAACAACAGGTGTGTCCTCCTCAACGCACCGCTCTGCCTAACCGTCTATTTCTTGCATTGTGAATGCCCCACAGCTCTCCCACTGCCAAGCTGACTACCATCCAGCCCAGTAAGTGCCAGCAGCATTGCAACTCATTTAGTCAGTGGCCCAGGGACGTATCACACAGCCCCGGTCCTGATTACACATGATCAAAGATGGATTCTTCAACAGTTTGATTACATATTTGAGCTTGAATAAAGTCCACATGCCTGTGAAACGACTAATTGATTGGAATTAGGACTTTTATGATGATTTAATACAACAATTGAAATGTTCTTCAGGGTTGACCTCCGTCATTGGAGTTGCACTACAGTATGTGCTGCATTTGATTACAGGGAAAGTTGATTATCAGAAAATATGGTACATATGAAGTGATTTTCTGCCCTAAGTAATATTATTCTGTATAGTTAGAGCTGAAAAAAAGATGACATGGGGACTTCAGTCAAGACAAAATGCACGAGCTAATGAGACTGGTTAGGGATTCAAATTTATGGAAATTGTATTAATTACAGAAACCTATCTTTCATCCGTACCATTTAGTGGTGAAGTAATTAAAAACCAACAATGACAGTCCCAGCAGTGGAGAAAGCAAACAAGATCAAAGAAAGTGGAGCCTTCACCAAAAAGTAGCATGCGAGCTGAACTGGGCATGGCCACGGGCAACAGGGTCTCATTAAAGTCAGCCTGTGTTGATCAGCAATTAACCTGTTTTGTGTTGCCTCTGATTGAAACTTGCACAACGCCGTTTTAAGGTTTGTGCATAATGTTTGTCTGGAGATGACCAAGAGGAAGCGCTGCCTCGGGTCATTTACAAACATCCTTTGATTGGTTGACTGGAAAAGGACGATTGATTGTTGAGTCAACTGGCCTCAATAAATAGTGAATAATGTCTTTATACATGAAGACATCTTGATACTATTAACATGGAGGATGATCTTCTAAATGATGTAAAACAATGTGTAGGTAAGACAGAGATTTCAGTTTTAGCTTTTGTTTTCATTATTATTAAGTGATAATAAGAGCAAAGGATGTTTGAACCAAAATGAGATGTTACAAACATTTATCACCTGTCCAGGGTCTAAGCAAAGGATGCAAATACATACGCATACCTAATTCAATTAAATCTGTGCTAATTGGATTTCTAGGTGAGGAAGAAGTAATCTTACCTTTAGTGATTATTATTATATTAAATTATTTCCAAATGATGTTCTTGAATGCTTAACAAACCTTTACTGTGCGTCATGTCATGTAAGTGGCTCCATTAGCTGCTTTTTTCAGGAACTGCATTAAATAAGAACACTTCCTTTTACACTGTTTTTTTTTTTTTCATTTAAGGAATGCCGAATCCTGATTTTACCAGAAATCTTTACCTGACTCAAACTCTGAGGTGAAGACAATCACTCAAACCAGTCGAGTGGAGCTTCCAGCCGCTGACAAAGAACCGTCAGAGACCCGACGCCGCGGACAACAAACGCATGGCCAGTCTTAACTTCTATTATGAGCGGTGAAAGTCATATTTAAAATGAGAGATTAGCCACTCATCATAATATTGGCGGATTACTACCTGCGATGAAAGCAACCCCCTGGTTCTGGGTCGATAAGAGTTTGACTGCATTTCGAATTAATTTTCCTCCGCTTAAAGAGCTGGACTCCTATCTTGTTATTGATCACTGCGTTAATCCATAACCAAGCACATCCTTTCCCCCGCGGAAAGAGCGGTATAATATAAAACGATCGCTCTTGACAGCGTGTATAAAAACAGACTTAGAAGTGATTAGGGTGCATTATTAAAGAACGTGTTACCGGAATATTTTCTCGTATCAGTTCATTTCGTATCTGCAGTTGTCCTTTTTTTAAACAATTTTACGCCAACAGTGGTTCTGTTCTGTATTCCCTTTGGTCTGGATTGTGATTGATTGATTTCCCCGACAGGAGGAGCACTTCACACCTCGGCTGCTTTTCTCTGTTTGTCTTTTCCAACAGAGGGACCTCCACAGTGGATGAAATTTAGCCCCAACCTCCGACCTTTGGGTCCAGTGTTTGTCTCCAGTCCAGTGACCACAAACAACTCTTGGATTGCTGTAAATGTCAGTGCAGCGACGTCTGCACCATTCTGTCCTGTGAACCCTGCTGCACTCAACCTGCACCAACAGGACACTTTCCTTCATGCTGAATTGATATATCAGCTTTCCTCCCTTTGACGCCTCTGTAAACTGAGCGACTGTCATCAAGCAAAGAGCAACGAGGGAATGTTTTTACAAAGCTTTGTTTTACTCGGCTCTTCAACCTTTTAAATTTGTAATTTGCGGCACTTCTAATGAAAATATTATTTAAATTAATCTCATTTTGGGGATTCAAGATTTTTGTTTTCCTGCCTAAAGAGTGCAGGATGAGTTACTGGAAGTGAACCGCTTAGCAGACGAAACAGCTCGCACCCTCCGTCAAAAAGCTCAAATATAACAGATTGTGATTCTTGTTCTGAAGACATTGGTTGTAATGCGTCACCGCTTTGAAGCACTTTGTTTCACCCTTCCCCCCACCCATAAACATACACACTCCCCTTCCCTCCTCTGCGGGCCTCCCGAGGTTGGTGTCTCTGCGTTAGGACTCTATTGTTGCCTACTGCTGGATAATGCCCTTATTAATTGTACCTCTTTGTAAGGTGTCAGCTGTAGCCCCCGATTGAGATGGATGGATCTCTGGAGTCTGCTCCCTGACCCTCCACAGACCCTCTATCTCTGCACAGCACACAGATACAACAGTGAGCGCTGACACACTATGACGAAAAGCTGAGATAAAACAGGCGTGTTTTCATTATTCCACCGAGAAAAAGAATCGTGTTTCTAAAAACTAAAGAGCTCTTTTTTTCTGTCAATTTAAGGTACGCTAGCATGTGATGTGTTTTAATTATCTGAATATCTGAGTGTCTCATAGCTCATAGAACTGATAAAATATATTTTTTTTATTGATTATTTTTAGTGTTTTGCAGAAATACCGGTTAATTAGGTGGATTGCAGCTTCTGTGAGATCAACGGCATTAACATCAAATCCTTTCCTTCTCATTAAAGGAAACAAAGTCAATTTAATTAATGCATATTAATCCCCACTGATGCTCATTTCAGCTTTAAGAAAAAGCATGGGACTGTGGTCTTCACATTTATCCATTAAAGGAATATAACTTGATAGCTCTCTGAATCAACATATACACTTAATACTTAGCTTCATTAGCTGAATTGTTAGGATTATACCTGTAGACGTGATTGACATTTTAAATGTATTTGTATGTAATCCCACTTAAAGTCTCACGCATATTCCAAATGTAATAAATTACACTTAAAATGTTCACTCTCATGTCATTGGGAACAAATATACTGAAAAAATGATGAAAAATGATGAACATGATCATTTCTTTTTTTAAATGTCTCCTGCTGTTAGCACACTTAACATGGCTTCATGAATGTCAGAGGATCCAACGCTAACTGACCCGCACATCCGGATCAGGCTGTTTGGTTGTTGAATTTAAAATAATGAGTTGATCTGAAGCCCCTCTGGTGACATTGTCGAACCAGTTAAAAACAACATTTGCACAGGGGTGGGATGTTTAGGGTATTTTCATTAGATGATACAACAGTTCAGTAGAAATTTGAGTCAATGATGTGAAAAACTTAATGGCACATTTTCTCTGAACCTTTTTATTAGTTCCTCATACATGAGGTAACAAATATTCTGGTAAACAAATTTGTTCTTGTCCTTAAAATCGTCAAATTGCTGAACATATTGTAATTCTTCCTCCACAGTTCTGCTCTGAAACAACACGGTATCCACACAAGCAGAAGGAGACTGAAGTAGAGGGAAAAAAGCGCCGACCAGAAAATGGAGATCCTCTCCCTTCAGATCCCATTTAGAGAGGCCCTGCGCATTTTTAAAGTGTCAATTGTTTTTGTCTCTTGAAGTGTGGATGGAATGTTTGAATTCCAGTATTAACTGTAGTGCCTGCTGAGTTAAATTATGGTCCCTGGGCTGTGGGGTGGGAGTAATCAATAAGAATACACAAGGCAGTGTGTAATGTGTCTGCTCCTAGCAGCAGGGACACTGTCCCCCTTACCCTGTCCCCCAGCAGGTTAGATAAATATGATACTGAAACAGGGCACACTGGATTATATGATATCAATGTAGAATCAGGGAAGTGCTATTACGCTCCCCGAGCCCACTGTGAGTACTATTGACAAGGTTGGCTTTGAACATGGGAGCGTATTGCTCTCTCTTCTCGCCCTCGCTCTCTTCTCTCTCTCTCTCTCTCTCTTCATGTGTATAATACGAGGAACCGCAGGAATAAAGGGATCTATATTTCACTTAGCTTTGATTAAAAGGGCTATTTTATGCCCATGGCTTGAAGACGTCTTTATTGCACCCACAAGTTAATCTGTGAAGGGCGTGCTGTGATCTAAATTTCCAGATGCTTCTTTGCATAAAGAGCCAATAATGTAGAATCAATATACAATTGATTTGATTTTTTAACGCCCTGCGACACAAGTGCTCTTGACATTTTCCTATTGATAACTGTGTATTTTCTCTTTCTCGCGTTGATGTTGCCAAATGTCCGACCAATTAACTAGCGTGCCGATGTTGTTGCCCGGCTGCCTGCTAGTTGCTCGTACAGTAACCTCATATCACTGATCTACTCACGGTATTGATTAACTCTCCCTCCTCCGCGGTGAAAGGATCAAACCTGGCATGTCTAAAAGGCCATTATCAGCGTCCACTTCACATAACCTGCCACAACCTGATACAGACCCTTTCACAGGTCGCAACCTATCTGCCCTCTGCAGCCACCGTACCTCCTCTGACCCCCCAACCATCATTATCATGCTTGTGTTAAATGACATACAGGTCAAGAAAATGGCACCGTGTTGATGTCTCACATGTGAATAATCCATGCATCGCTGCAAAATGTCAAGCTTCTGCTTTAACAAATAGATTCTACCATAGTGGCCAAAGACAATGTATTTAAAAAAAACTGTCCGAGATGGAGCACATTCTCTTGATTAAATTGGAGGTGCAGGTGTAATTTTCATAGCCTGTGGCATTTTGTTTAAATGTGTCAGGTCCTAAATATCACTACAGTTTGTGAAGCATTATTTCTAGAAACACTTTCACAGTGAGACAAAATCACTTAAAGGTTTAAAGCAGCATTTCATTTGTACACTTAATTTAGACATTCAGTCGTCCCTTTATTTCAATTAAAACCCTAACAAGTGTTCTGGGGTCTTGATTTGTTGCACTGTTACAATTTCCAAAGTGCTTTTTTTTATTTTTTATTCCGAGCCAAATCTAGATATTAAAGCCTTTTTTTTTTTTAGGCCAGGTATTAGTCACATCGCGGTTGCTTTCACACAAAAGATTTGGCAGAAGCCAATTTGCATAAGGTCAGAGTCAAGCTCCTGATGGAAGTTGTGCAGCATCCCCGTCTCTTAGCAACACTCTTCCCCTCTTGGTGTCTGTGTTGAATTGACTGGTCTTTGGCACTCATCTTTCACCAAGAAAATTCATAATGAAATACCACCCGACAACCTGCCTCCATCACCGAGAGGCACTCCTCGCTTTCCTCCTGGGTGACAGTACTTTTACACCGGCATCAGTAAACGCTCAGCAGAGAAGAACGCTGCTTTTCGCTCATATTTGCGGGCGACTTTTGGTTTAAGGAGGTGGATAAACATGTTTATTAAGAATTGTGCCAAGATTAGAGGCAAATTAGCAGGTAATTGGAGACACCTGCAAAACAAAGGGGAGGATGGTGGAGGTGGTGGTGTGGAGCACGATGAAGGAAGGGATTGGTCTTCCGGGCTGGCCTCCGCCCATTTATTGGTGGGTGGGGTGAGGGCGTTTAGAAATGACGTTTTGAGAAAATGACTTTTGTCCTCTTCCGTGTAGAACAGCATCCAGATGCTGCCAAGAGATGTTAATAGAGGGTCACCTTTTGGACAATAGTATCCATCACAACTGCCTCCGTACTCCAAGCGCGACGCTTTCTTGGTCAAAAGAAGGAATGCGCTGCAATTACTGTTGTTGTTTTTTTGGCAAAGGCATTCAGCCACAGACTATACTGCAATTATCGCTCTGCTGATGATTTCCATCATCTTGGTCACATGTGGTCACATGTGGTCTTTGCCCAGCACATTTGAACTTTCCGTGAGAGGTGAAATCCGTACACATGTATCGCCCACTCCTTTACATCTTCCTCGTCCTTTTATAGTCACACGTGTCGTCGTGCTCTTCCTCTTCGCGTCGAAGTCACGACAGGTGCCGCGCGGACATTAAACCCGCCGCTTTGTGTTTTACAGCGCGCCGCGTTTCACCGCCTGTGCACATTTCAGCTTTCCACATCCACGCACCGTTCAACCGGCTCCCGGCACTGCAATAGTTTATATTAAATCTAAATTATTTCAAAATATTTCTAATTTATTTCATAGTATTATTATTATTATCAAATTATATTTACACATTTAAATATGAAAATATAATGTTTTTTTTATGTCGGGCAGAGACGTGTTCGATTCAGGTTGCAGAAATATAAATGTGATTTCTGTGCTGTTATAAAATAATAAAAGATAAATAAATAAATAAACGGCATGAAGCTCATTCACCCGGACTAAGGGCTGTTGCATGGTGACCACATGCACTGTTGATACAAATTGTGACAGGTCGGTATTTTTATTTTAATGACGAGTTACCGACTGAGAGCCAAAGGACGAAGAGGCATCTAAATACATTTGTTTTTTGTTCTATTTACATTTTAAATAGTTCATCATCCACTGGGAAAAATCGACGGAATTTGCTCTCACCCGCGTCTCAATATATTAATTGGTGTATTTAAAAAAAAAAGAAGAAGACAAAATAAACTGTCTGTGCCGACGCGGAACTTCCCCTCTCTGTGCGCATCGCGCGCGCTGCCGCTCCGTGTCCGACATCCCGATCGCGCACGCGGGGGGTTTTCTCCCCTCGTTGCTGTTTCTCGCTGCCAGGGGTCGTCCGGTTCTGTCGCACGCTTTTAGTGACTTCATCATAACCAAATGACTAATTGTCACCCTTTAATTGCGATTTAATTTGATCCCTCAGGCCCCTGCAAATCCGTGTAAAATAACAGAATAGATTGCTGCCAATAGCGCACCTTTGGTGAATCCTATTGATTGATGCACGAGAGAGAGAGGGAGAGAGAGAGAGAGGCAGAGGGAGGCAGAGGGAGCGCACCTGCCTCTATCTGTCCATCTCGGGATCATGAACACACCAAGTGGGTCTAATTTTCTGAGACGTTCAGCTGGGATGTGTCTCAATTGGGACTGAGATCAGGGGCTGTGATTGTCTATTGCTTTAGATTGGCTCGTTCAGTGCAATTCTGGAAACTTTTATTGCAATCCACCGATTGTAATGATGGAGAGCCCTCGATGTGGCAGCACTGATTACATCAGCCCGTCTCTACCTTTCCTTCATCTCGGCTATGTATTCCGTCCACCAACAGCTAAAGCTTTCACGAGCTCGCCATTACTGACCGACAGATGAACGATCTGATCTGAGTTTTTATTCTGCTCGATAATCTGTTGACCTCATTGCATAATTTGAAGATCCCCCAAAAGATGGATTCAAACTATGGCCAGATGTTTACATTATGCTTTGAAATTACAAAGCTCGTTTCCTATTGGCCGTTGATCTTTGTAATTTACTTTTCAAAAGAGCACGAGGCTCCTCTTCACCAGTTGCGAAATCATTTTCCCATGCAAAGTTAGCAGCGGGGTAAAAAGTATTCAGATCATACTTTGGTTGAAGTAGAAATGCTGTTCACATTTCAGAAAAGGCCCCTTGTAATAATTATAGAACTTAATTATTTTACTCACATTATTAAATATTGTTTTTATTTGTAATGCTGCATTCAATCTAATGAGATAATTTTTATAAAAGAGAAAAGTCTGTGAAGTCTACTACAGCTGCATAGTCGTAGAATTCAAGTAAATCCCTCTGAAAAGTAGAAGTATTGCCGTTCCACAAAGTTCTTAAATTGACTTAGTTTCAGCTATAAAACTAGGTTTTGTAAACTTTGTTTATGCAGAATCAAATTATTCTTCCTACAGTTCCCACCGGTGTTTAGATAAAAGAATAGATTCATACAGACACGCACACGACACAGTCTTATCTGCAAATTGTACATAAACTTAAACCAAAAACCAAATGACTTATTGTGATAAATGGACTTGTATATTAGTTTATTCATCAAATTATAACATTGGATCACAATTACTGATACGTTGATTTAGCATGTTTAGGTGGTAAAGCACAACCCCATGTTGTTTAAAATGTACATTTGCAAGTCCTTTTAACACTCATGTTTAGAGTAAATGAAATGAAATACCAGTACGTCAAAATTGTGCTGAAGTAGCTGAGTAAATGTACTTAGTTGCTTCCCCCCACTGCAGCTCACAATAAATCACACTCATGTGTCTGCAGGCGATGATCACTATCAGCATGTGATTTCCAGCATGTTCTTGTGAGAAGCTTCCCTGTGACATATGGAGATGCTTCCTTCCACAGCCACACCTGACTGATCCTCTCTCCTCTCTCTCTCTCTACACAGATGATATCACACAGCTGACTGCGACAAGATTCCCAAATGGCTCTCCCTTACAGTGAGACATGTCATCTGACCATGTCGCCCCTGCTAAATCCAAATATTGTGCATTGTTGGTAAAGAGAGGGGTCAGGCAACTTGTGCGTCGTGTTTTCCAGGCTCTGTTCTCTAATTAAGTATTCATGAAACAGCAGTGGGAGCAAAGTGTAGGTTTACACCGGCGGTCGGGACGGCATCACCCCCACTTCCCATGTGTAATGCCCCCCCCCCCACACTCCCCCCCCGGCTGGCAGACAGGCCATCATTCCTAGTGTACTCCCAGCAATGATATCAGAAAGGTTTTTTGGTCAAGCCAAAGAGAGGTCACTCTAATAATACCCAGGGTCAGTGGTGGGAGCCGGCGAGTCTCCCAGTCATTATTCATTTGTTCACAGAGTTAATGACAGTTGCAGGGGGACGAGAACTTGGAGCCAGCAGCCATGTGATGTCACCAACACATGCCAAGGGATTAGGAGGGCAGGCAGGGGACAAGAAGTGTGGATTATACAGGGAAATGGAACCACAGCAACAACCTTTCGTGCTCCGTCAACCAACTCTGCATGTTTGCTGCTGGAGTTATGACAGACGCACACACAGATGTCACTGAATTATGACAATTGGCTCATATTGTAGCAACAGCGTTGCCGAATAAAGGAATAAAATAAACCGCGTCCATCATGTCCAAGTTGATTACCCTTTTGGGAGTTGTTTAACATATTTAACGCCATCGGAGTAGTTCTTTTTTCTTAAAACCAAACACCGTCATTCATTTACAGTCCTTTGGTTAAACTGCTATGTGGATGTTTTCCTTGTGGAAGGTAATTGCAAATATTTCAGGTTTTTTTTTAAACAAATGACAAAATGTGATAGTCGACGCATCATGTTTCAGAGCTACTGTAACAACCCTGGCGGATAAACTGGAGACTGTGGCTTTTACAGCGAGAGAATGAACAATGAACACACCTTATTCAGTCAGTGGGCCGGCAGCGCAGAGTGAACAATGAACCCCTCCCTCTGTCTAGCACCATGTCTGATAATGACCACGTCCACCAGCCGCTGATCTTTTATGGCCTACATGTGCATAAATACGGCTCAGATAAAACATCCCGGGGAGGACATTGACGATATGACCAGCTGTGCACGAACTGCAACACAAACTGTGTTTTCTTTGAAGCAAAAACAGTTTTACATTCTGCACCAAAAACAATCCATATGTTGTTCTATCTAAACGGCATTTAGTTAACATATTTATTGCAAAGCAACTGTAAAAGGGAGTTGCGCACTTTATCTTTGAGTAACATCTGCTGAATAATTAGAAGGAAACGAATGTGCATTTTGACGAATTATAATGCAGAACCCCCCCCCCCACCCTCCAATATGGCCTTTGTCTCAAAACATAACATGCAGATACAGTATATTCCCTGTTTGAGCAAAGGGTCAGAGTATAAATATGAACTGCATTTTGCATTACTTTCAGATGAGTGAAGCTGTCAGACCAATAATTTGAGCTTTCAGTCGTACTTTCTGCCACTTATCCCCCATTCTAGGACCAAGGGGTCATGTGAAAATTGAAAGTGACAGTCAAACCGGCATGTTGAACAGGCCGATTCGACTAAGCTGTCACGGCCCAGATCAGAGCTCTTTAACACCGGGACCATCAGACGTCTTTCTGTTGGAGCGAACCAACGCAGGCCAGCGTATGAGAAAATTAAAATCCTTTACAAGGAAAAGAGCACATCGCTAATCCATGACAGGAAGAGGCTGAACACCCACACCAAATCTACATTATGAACTAGAAATGCAAATGACTAGAAGGACAAAGTTTCAGTGAGTCAGAAAACTTTAAATAATGCTACAAACAGGAAAAACAAAAGCCTCAGAGTTCACCGAGGGTCTTTTCTCTCCGACAGCATTCAGCTCTCGTTTTCCACTTTAAGTCCCGTGTTTTTCTTTCTTTGTGGTCGTTTGAATGAAAATGTTTGTATCACCTGTTCTGCGGATGATTTAATGAGCGCGTTATGCTGTCACATGAAAGATTTTTTGACTTCATCGAAAAAATTCTCTGTCAATTTATATTTAGTTTCATATGCAGCATTGCATGAATCCCGGTCGTGAGCAATCAGCTCGCCGTCATCCATTCAGACGGTAATAAATCACGTCATTATCACTTTTACTTGAGTCCATCTTTGAAACGGAGGGAGGATGAAATATTTTTGTCAGGTGGAAGAATAACTTATGATCCTTTTATGTCCTGCTGAGAACCCTTGAAAATAATAATACACCACAGCAGAAGCACATGAACGACTGAAAGGCACTGAGTGTTATGAATCTGATGGGATTTGCATATTTTGGCTCCACGCTAAGAAGCAGGTGAAAGAAATCACATGACATGTATGAAAAAAGAGAAGCTGTTACGATATTTCCTCAGAAGTTACAGTTCACATTAACACGATATGTTTCTCCAGAACTCACTTGTGATTGAAAACAAGAGGATTTCAAGGTAAAAGCTCCTTGAAGAAAAGATTTTTTTTATTATTATCTGAAAGACACAAAGTCAAAATGATCATTCAAAAAATCTGTCATAATATGCTTATTTAACCTTTGAGCCTTATCTGTTTGAGCGTAACCGTTTCTCTTTAGTTTGCTTCGCTCTTATTTCAACTTCAACAGATTTAATTTATTACTCCGTTTAAAAATTCTTCAACAGCCTCTAAATAAACTGAAACCTTGGCTGTCAAATAACGTTAGACCCCACTGAGGGGCCACTGTCAGACGAGTCAGGGATCAAAGTGCAAACTGTTGTCTCTCCTGACATTAAAGAGGGTGTTGTGTTTAAGAAAAGGTTGTTATTCATTCAAATCTAGAAGAAGTCAGACAACCTGATGAGAATCATACTCATTTATTTATTTTCTAGATTTAAAAGTTTTTTAAAAGAACCAGTGGAACTTTCCAGGATGATAATGGCGAAGATTATGTGGGAAAAAAACATCTAATCTTATTTAACCACATGAAATGTATGTTTTCCAACAGTTTTTATAAAAAATCCCAAATGAAAAGAAACTTCCAACGCTTGTTTTTTGACCTAAGCTGTGATTGGCTGAAACAGCTTGAGTTGTTCTGTGTGTCTGTGTGAAAGGGAAAGAGAGGAAGGTACCAGTGGGTTAGTGTGAATATAGTTAGTTAAAAACCATAACCTTTCCATGTCTTCCTTTATGTAATTCCTTCCTTGAATGAAAATGTGGATTTTTAATTGTCTTTCCTTTCTTTGGTTACAGTTTAGTCATCATCAGACAGCGGACCTCTTCCTTGTAATAACTTACCACTCATGTACTTTCCTTCCCTGCTTGACTTCAACACTGTAAACTAGAGTGTAAAAAAGCAACGTCTTAATCTATGGAATCACACAAGTATAACAGACGATTGAAATAAGAACCGTGAGTGATCACCACAAAATACAGCAAGACGTTCCGTTTTCGTTTTGGCACAAAACCACAGCAGAGTGACAGCTAAAGGGGGGAGTTGCATTTGGAAGATTATTAATAATTAAGGGTATAACAGTCCTCATTTAAATCCCTATTTATGTCTCCTTGTGCCTAAACAGCACCCGAGTGTTCGGTGTTGAAGAAAGGCTTAAAATTGTAACTATAAAGGTTGTTTAACAACAACAACAAACTGAATCCTTTGGAGAGTCATGAAACACTTCAGAATTGTTTTCCTTCACTCCTTCTTTCTGTCGACGCACACACAGGAAATTAGAGGAGTGTAGTAGGTTTTGTACAACACAACACACACACACACACACACACACACACACACACACACACACACACACACACACACACACACAGAGGGAGGGAGAGATGAATTGGAGACTGTTGCTTATGTGATACATGTTTTAATGTAAGAACAAAAACTTGGGCTCTCCTCCTTCCTCTGAAGGATCAGGTGAAATGACTCGTCCCGTGTCCATCCCAACATCACAATCCTCCAACCCATGTTCTCCCCTCTTTTTTTTTTTCTGATTCCACTGATCTGAGCTTGAAATGCGAAGACAGCAAAGCACTAAGCCTTCAAACGTGTGATTTTTTCAAAAGATCTCTAGAAGCAATCTCTGCCTGACTGACCCCTGACAGCTGCAGATCTCTTTATTTCTCTCTCTGCTGGCACTTCATTTGGTAGAAAAGCTCTCAGATTCACACCTCTGTCAGGCAGCACAAGTGTTTATTATGTGCATATACACACAGAATGTGCCGCACAGTGCACACCTGAAAGGCATGCAGTTTGTAGACTTTGAACAAACAACACGTATGTATACTGCTTTTATTAATTGCGTAGAAATCTGACTTTTTTGCTTAAGTAGACAAAGAGTAAACATAGATACAGGATGCTTATGAGCCATGGACACAATAGTGTGCTCCATTAAATGTGCTTCTTCCGTACCACCGATTAACCTGTCCTCTGGCTTATCTGCTCCTCACCGCAGACACATGAGGCAAAATGGATTTGACTTCCTCCTCGTGTTTGCATTTCTTCTTCTTGTTTAGTTTTTTTCTGCCCAGAGTCAAAACCAAAACGATTTTTATCCTCAGAAACACCTTGTAGGGAAAAAGAAACGGTTCGGGGTGTCTGAACGGAAAGAAATATCAAAATTTACATATGTGATAACATGAAAACAGAATATCAGCTAAACAAATACATAATGTAAGTAGCAGTTCCATTTAAGGACACCTCCCTGTCATGTTAGATTATACATGCACACCACAACAGAATTACCTGGACAATAGGACGTGTTCTTATGTGCAGTTTGTCTGGTTTTATCATGGTAGTTTTTTCCTCCATCACTCGGTGTTGCAGGCTTTGCTGGTGCCTCCCTCTCTGGAAACGAGACTGCAGACTCTATCATTAGATCGGATGGCAAGTCTTTATGCAAAGTGTTTTGCATAATTACATACCAAAGCCAGAATAGCCACCCTCAAATTTTATGGGTCACAAAGCATCAACAATTGCTGCATTATTGTCCACCAAAGTCCAGCCCCACCGATGACAAGGAACGGGGGGGAAAGAAGAAGAGAGAGAAAGAACTCGTCTGCTTAATCTCAGTTTGGGAGATTGCATTTTCATTCCAGTAAAAAAAGTAAAGAAGATTATTTCCAACTTGTTTACATTGTTGAGGTTCAGAGGCTCCGGGGAGCTTGATCACGGAGTCTGTAACTTGTGAGCATCAGGACGTGGCTGTCACAAGTTCTATTTTAAAAAAAAAGAAACAATTTAAAGGAAATTGAGACGATTAATACGTGATGATATTCAATTTGATTTAACTTTATATTGTTAGACATACCCCAAAAACGGTCGTAAAATGTGTGGGTATATATTACAGTTGCTATAGTAACTAGACCTGAAAAGGTTATTATCAAATATGTTTTATGAAAACTGTTTGAAGAAATCTCTTGAGGGATATTTATTTTAGCATCCGTAATTTTATAAATCCTGGTCAAAAAATAAAATATTATCAAATATTATCATTATCGTCTTTACTGATTTTGAAGACTTCGGATGACCAAGAGTGAATTAAAAACGAAATAAAAAATACATCAGAAGTGCCTAAAAAATATTAGTAATATAACATTACTATTATTATTGCAGTTTGGGAATTGATATCAGAATTTATAATGACAACTTTGTGATATTACATTTTGTTTTATGAGCGAATATCCGTCGTTAACAAGCCGGTGGTGTTATCCTTCCCAACAGAGACAGCGGGTTCACCGATGAAAACAGAAACAATATGTCCTCCTAAAGAGGTCTTAAGCGAATATAATAAACTGGCAAGTCCAGAATATGATTTTTGTTTTAACGCGTAAAAGAGGCTGTGAAAAAACCCCGGCATGTCTCAGTGGAGGAAAAGGTCAGATAGAAACGCTCCCTTACTCTTCGGTTACGATATAAATAACGTCCTTACACATATTCGATAGAGCCTCATGTGAGGGATCAGCCTGTCATCACTGAGTATTTATAAAGAGCATGTGGTTAAATTAAATTGAAACATCAAAAACGATGACGGCTTTGCGACTTCAGCTCTTGGCGCATTTTGTGCAAAACATTGTTTTAAAAAAAATAAATAAACGTTCTCACAGTTGCGTTTCAGCTGTTATTTTTCCTACCAGAACACATTTGTCAATTATTTATGACAAGTAAATATATTAAAGAGATCTTCTTCAGATGTATTAAGACACTTAAGACTATGAGTACATTTAGTCCAACCCCCAGCTGCCATTGCACATTTCTATTATGTTTCAACATTTTTCATTGACCAATTTCACAGAAAAAACAACAACAACAACGAAAACCCCCGTTAGAGATAACTAACTCGTAATAGTCATTCGGGGCAACGGAGCACAGCGGAGGTTAAACGTGCAGAATAGCGCCATCTCGCTGCTGCGGTCAGATATTTCTGCCCCCCCCCCCCTTTTCCACCGAGACCCTCCGTGAAGATTTGTCCTCTCATAAGGTTGACCGATTTCTGTGTGCGTAGTCAGCTATGACAACAGCCTGCATGCTGCTGTCTTTTGACGGCCACCAGCTATATGTGTTATCGCTGTTCATTAGTGCGGAGGGGGGTAGGGGGGGGGGGGGGGGTCCCGGAGGGGGTCTTGGGAACTTCCGGGTCAATGAGAAGGAAGGAGTGGAGTAAGGGGGGGGGGGGGTCCTCAGCAACTTGAGAAGTACAGTCATCTCACTGTAATCTGATTCAACCAAATGATCACATGGGCAACAGGGCATGGACGAGTTCCCAATCTGAGGTCCCGGGACGCTCGCGGGTCACCGAGGGAGTTAAACGGGGTCCTCTGGAAATCAGAGAAGTAAATTAATTTCTCGTGCGGGTCCTTGTTGGTTTGCGTGTTGCGCATTTACAGGATGTATACATTTGGTTGATCCTGGAGCTTCTCGGCTGCTGTGTAGGAAACTAAATCCCATCAAGCCACTGAGAATGTCACACGTGGGTCCTCATGACAAAAACGTGTATCGCGCGGACGTCCAGGGGCCGCAGCGCGCATCTCTGCGGGTTGTTCTTGAGATGAGATATGGGGGGGGCTCACGGAGAGAAACATAAACAGTTCACTATATTTTGGAGGATGTTTCTACAGAAAAAAAAGAGGCTTACAATTTGTAGATTTCAGGGGTAAACAGAAAGGAGTAACAAAATCAATCATTGCCGGATCTGCAGATCCCTTGTAAACTAAATGGGTTGAATCTGAGGAGAAAAATAAACTTTATTATTGCTTTTATACCCTGCAACATATATTAAAATCCGCAACAGACCAAAGCAAATATAAAATGAAACTTCATCAGCAGGTCAAATAAACAACATAATAATAATGCTCAAGCTTTGACTGTATGCAGATACGTGTTTTCATTGGAGATGCTCGCTCGGTGTTCTCCCGACACGCCGGCGCGCCATTTAAATGACCGATGTTGTGCGCTAAGGAGACGAAGAACACAAGAAAACAAGCAGTCCCGATAAAACTCCATGTTAGTTTTCTATTAATTTATTTCACAGGAACAGTTAGAATTCATTTTATTCGTATTTTCCTCACCTGTGGGATGTGGGAACAACGTGTTTAGGGTTGGAAATGAACATGATGGTGATGAAGATGAGGATGATAACAGTGATGATGGTGATAATTAAGACTGAACGAGAGATAACGCGTCGGGTGTGCATGTTTTGTTTCGTTTTATTAACTTCAGCCCGTCCCACCAGCATCCAACAGAAATACGCCAAATGAATTCCACCGTTTGGGGGGGCTTTGCACAACGGGTGTGTGAAGTGTCGGGAGAAACACACACCCGCGTACACGCTAACGCGCAAGCACGCGCTCACACACAGCGGGGCAGAGAATTTACAGGAAGGAAAATAGACGACGTCTCCTTCGGCGGCGCGTGCGGGCAGAGCCGTGCGTGGAGTGACCGCATGAAGCGTGACATACATGCGCAAAGTAATGCAGACATGTAATTAACAGTTACTTATTAGTGCAATGCATGCGACATTTTACATATAAGCTAATGTCCAATGTGCAAAACATCATCATCATCAAGCGTCATCATCGAGGGGCTCGAGCTGCGCACGCGCAGGCAGACATGCAGCGTGCACGTTCATGTGCATATATGGGGATGAGGAGTAAACAGACCTGCTCGGTTGACGTCAATTAAGATGTCTCAATCAGCCATTTCTTAGTGACACACACACACACACACACACACACACACACACACACACACACACACACTGTAAGGCCCCTGGAACGTCATCTCTAACTCAACTATGTGTATAAATGCTAAATTGTGGTCACATTCAGGGTCGTTCTGAAAACTTGAGAGTGACGAGCCTGTATCAATAATTAAGATCCCCGGAAGACCGACCAGCACCGCGGTTCGCCTAATGGGGGTCTTAATAAAGCATCTGTGTACCCCAAGTAACAAATCGATACCAGATGTAGACCCATTTATCGACCAATACCTATGAAGGAGCCCTGGCGAAACAACGCGTTGGGGAGGCTGAGGGGCTGGAGTCTGCTATCCAGGAGTGTTTGAGGTCTCTTCTAATCCTCCTCCCGGCTCACCGTTCGCCTCTGCTGTCCCCCCCCCCACCCCCTCCGCCCCCCCCTCCCATCTGGATGTGTGATCGTGTTTATTAAGACTAATCAAACTGCACGCTTTAAAGCCCTGAGAATTACTCCGGAGAACTCACTATAAATACACGTTTTAACTTCGTGTGTCTTCAGTGGCCGAACGGTAACTTACGTTTGGGATCCTTTGGCATTCAATATTCAAGTTATCAGAGGAAATGCCGGCTGCTCTACTGGTGTTGCGATGGGCTCCCCGGGAGCGCGTTTGGGTTAAAAGAAAAGCCGAAATAGCCTTCTCAAAAAATGGGGGGCGGGGGGTGGGGGGATTCAACATGGGGCATATTCCCACTATCGCACTACATCATCTGCAGTCGTCTTTATCTCCCCTTTTTATATCATCACAAAGCACTGCCCACTTCTCAAAGTCTCTCGGTGTTTTTTCTTTCTTTTTCTTTCATTTTTTTTTTTCAACTGAACTTTGCCTTGTTGGTGTTGATTGGTCCCCCTTTCTGCATTTTTCTCAATTTCTCTTTTCTCGCTATAATGAAAACTACTCGAAGAGCAAATGTTCTGTTAAATGGGGCACGTTCGGTGCTTTAACATCCTCGTTTTAAAGTGGCTGTATACTGATCTCTGGTTTTCATATAAGAGAATTCGATTTTAGTGCCTTAATATTCCCCACAACGGACCAAAAAGGCACCGAATGTTGTCAACAACATGATCATGTGTTTTTTTTTTGGTCAGCGTTATAAATTATAGCCTTTGGCCCCATTACACGAGCATGAATTTAGGTTTAGGCAATTTTTTTGTTATTTTTACTTTATTGCAAGCCTCCCAAATAAATTGTGGACTTTTACTTTAACCCCCCCGCTGCCTCCGATCACGTTAAAAAACCACGACTTCCCACAAGAGCGGAGCTGTGGCCCTTTTCCGGCTCCGCTCCCACAGACGGACGCGGTGGGGAAACACGGTGGCTGACAGGTGCTTAAAACACACATTACTTGTAAAGTTACAGCCTAATAGCAGACGGCAGCTGCTTGGTGAGCCTGTGCGACGAGGCGCTTGTGTGTAAAAGCGCCGGTCGCTTTTCCTTTTGTGTTAAAGTGAGCCGAGGTCTCCGAGGTACCGGAGCTACAGTTCCAGGGTTAGCGGGTAGATGGCACAATTTTCTTACATTTATCGGCAGAATGCTGGAAGCGTTGTGCACCAAGTAGAAATAAAAGGCAATTTATTGGAAAGGAAAAGGGGAAAGTGGAAGAATGGTCAGAAAAAAATTCAACAACCTTGGTAATAAAGAAAAAATGAAAATGAAAGAAAATCCTTTTTTTTCGGTTGATTGAAATTGTATCACAATTGTAAACGCAGTTGGAAAATGTGTATTATTAAAAACAATATAAATAATATTTTGCTTTACGTTTAAACCAGCGCGCTAAAATGAACTAGTATGCAGTGTAAATAAGCTGCTGTGCGTCAAACACAATAACGCGCGTGCTGTATCGGGCTAATTTGTCATATAGCGATAGTGCCAACGTGCAAACAATGCGCATATTCGTCGCACGACTGTGCAGCCATGCACGCGCGCGAGTGTGTGTGTGTGTGTGTGTGTGTGTGTGTGTGTGTGTTTCTGTGAGTGAATGAGTGAAAGAGACAGAGCGACGAGCGAGACCGCAAACCATATTCTTATCTTATTAAACAAATAGCGCCACTAACCGCCCGAGAGCGCTGAATAAGTTCCCAGCATCAGTCCAAACACTTCGGCTACCAGCCCGTATGTCAAAAAGTTCTCACGTCACGCCAAATAAAGGTGACGTCGCAACGTGTTACACCTCATTAGTCTTTTTTAGTAAAAAGCTAATATAGGAGCAGAGGTACAAATTATAGAGTCGCGCATTTACATCACGCGCTGTCAACTAAAATCAGCACGGTCGGTGTGCGGATCCATCCAAACCCCATTCTGAAGCTCCACTTATTATTACATATAGAAGGATGGTGATGTGCGTGTTTATTATTTGTTATTTTTTACTGTAAACATGTGTTCCAATGGAATCCTAAGTGGGAGCCCTATAGCTTTAACTGTGTGGGGGCTCACTTTGGCCCCAAAGTGTGAAACACCTCAGAAGCGGTTTGGTTGGACGAGCAGTGAGAGCAGCACGGTGTGGATAAATGAGGCTTTCAGCAAGAAGCCGAGGATTAGAGACCATCAGCATCACATCATAATAATCATCATCAACAGCAACAGGACCACGCACTCACACACGGAAACAAACGCTCACACAGCAGCAGGAACCGTCCCATTCTGATTAAGCCTGTACAATGAGGCTAATTCTATTACAGGCCCAGAACTCTCAACCGAGCCAATACTACTAAGAATTAATGATAGGCCAAAGGTGTTTGCCATCTAAACATAATGATTTACATTTAAACTCATCACGTTCAATTCTTGGATATTCCATCTTTTATAAACGTAAACTGTGCGTAACGGCCATCAACGCTCAGGGGTGCAGTTGACTTCTTTTTTAAGTAAGTTGCAAAGACCATTGTCAATATAACGCTATTTGAATTTTTCAAGATAGAATTTAAACTTTTTGAATACAACTTATTGTAGTTGGTTGATAAGATCTATATGCATTGTGAATTAATGCAGATAATCGCGTCCGAAAGTTAAAGGTTCCTGCGTAAATGGCGGTGAAGTTTGGGTGTTTTCTCCGAGCGCCGCGTCCCGCGTAAAGGCGCTATGAAATGTCATCATCAGTGGAGGCAGGGCGCCTTATTACAACTGTTGAATCCTATTTGTGAAGTTATACTGACGTCCACCTTCACTCCATTATCGTCCTCAGTCTAGTCAATTACTGATCGGCATTTTTACAGAAAATAATCTTAACCTTGGAGCAAAACGTGAAGTCGTTGAGCGGGAATGTTGGCTGATTGATTAATTATTTTGAAATTCATTAATCACTTTCATGGGGCAAAAGGGTCACATCCTGCCACAGCAAATTGACTCCCCCCCCCTCCTCACCCGACCCCCCCAACCGACCACACACACCACACGCACATACAATGACATTTTCACGCGTGCGTTTGGGGAAGTAAAAAAACATGAAAAACGTGTGTTTTCAAATTCATAAATTATAATTTAATACCAAGAACAAATTTACAGCAGAATGCTTGTTTACAATAAGCTAACACAAACAAACAAGAATTGTGTTCAACTATAAACTTTCACACACACTCACATATATCACTTGCAATTAATAATAATAATCAAAATCATAAAAAAGTATCTATACGTTATCAATACCCTGCAGTCATATATTTTTATATATTTATATAAAAACGTGGGTCAGTTTAAACTGTTCATAATTACAATCATGTATCATTCTCTGGTCCATTTGTGGCTATGAACAGCCGAAGATCAGTGTTCAATCATTGATCCCTTTTAATTCAACCACAACATGATGTTCCTGTGTGTGTTGAAGAAAAGCCTCAAAACAAAGACAAAAATGCTAGCTTCCGAATACACACACGCACACGTTCTCACACACGCGCGGGCGCGCGCGCGCACACACGCTCAAGCACACCACGGCACCTGTCAAAGACCAAAGGAGCAATAACACTAAAGTTAAAATATCGACTCCTTTTCCCAAACCTGCTCACCCTGTTTTAAGTCTGTAGTCTAACAATGAACTTCGTTTCTTTTCTTTTTTGTTGCTTTAAATACAAGGGCTAGTGTACTGAATGCACAGATTATATCTATACAGTCAAAAAAGAGAGAGAAAACATTTACATTTATATATCAAAGGTAAAATAGGTTAGCGACCTGTGGCCATGCATTCACAGTCTAAATATACATGAAAAAGAAAACATTTGTAGTAATATGTATATACATTAAAAACATAACTTTCAGTGCTACTAGCTAAGTCTGCCACTCAATTTTGAAGACGTTGTATTACTGAGAAAAGAAAATGGCAACCACAGATTTTTCTTAATCACATATACTTTGTATAAAGGAAAAACTCGTTGAAATGGATTGACCTATATTTACAAGAATACTGCCTCTCTCGGTGTTTTTCAAGGGAAATACACCACTGAAGTTTCAATTCCAATTGTGTTACCGCAAAATGTTGTCGGCTTACTTGAACAGCGTTTTGATGAGGAATCACATCATGCTTGTCAGGCACTTAATGCTTGAAGTGAATAAAGGGTGACATTTCAGGGACGCTTTAATAATACTGCTATTAAACACTACTCTGGCTAGGCTTCAAACTTGTATGACCCTTTGACCTGTTCAATTTCTTTTAACAAGTTACTTTTGCTTTAAGTGCAGTTTGAGTCACTGCAATTGCCCTTAAATGCACATATAATGCATTTAAAGCAACTTTTCTCTAATACCTTTAAAACAGCATGATAGGCAACTTGTAGGATTGGTTTGTATTGTGTCCAATTGGTGAACTAATGCAAAATATCCAAAGTTGGATGAAGTGGGGGAAGACTTTTTCAGCAAATAATTTGGAAAACAAAGTTGATCTGTGACTTCATATTAATAAAAGAGCAAAATAGTTACTGCATGTTCATAAAGTCAAACATGAACTCCCAAAAAACTCCCTTTTCCCAGATGGTATTGGTCATCCTAAGAATATAAGTGCGCTTGCAGCATTAAGCCGAGATTATAAGCCTAAACTCCTATTGCTGTGGTTTTAATTCTTTCTAGAACTTTTTTTTCTTTTTAATTTTTTTTTTTACACCTTTTCAAAATAAATCATTGTCTTAGAAAATAACACCACCTGTACTACATAAATCACATATGCTGGTTTGCAACCAGAAAGGAGGAACAAAGAAAGTACAAAACACAGCTATACATGGACACAGGACAAGTCATTTGAGAAAACAAAATTCACGTTTCATATTTTCCCTTTCGCCTGTTAGTTTTTTTTAAACCCAAATTCTCATTTTAAATGCACTTAATACTTTTTTTTCCTCATAAGAATCAACAGAATCCCTTTTCCTTTTTTTTAATCATTTTCTTCTTTCATTAAAAAAAAATGAATCGAAGCAGGTTGTTCTGCATGAACACTGGGAGCTTGTATCTGCCATTTTGAAAGTTCAGTGGATGTCTCAATTTTTTTTTGGAGTAGGGGGGGAATTCACAGTCATTTACGTCAAAGTCTTTCTTCATGAAAGCCAGCCCCGTTAAACAGCCGGGTTTTTTTTTTTTATTCCTTCCACAAAAGCAGCTATAATCATTGTAGTCTCGCAGTCCCCCCCACCCCAATCCCCCCCAACCTCCCCAAACCCCACCTTTTGTTTGTTCGGCTCCTTCTTGGTTTACTGAATTGACATGTAAGGCCAGTTAAAACTGCTCCCCGAAAGCAACATATCCCTGATGAGAGTTTCAATTGGGGTTTTACCTACCAATCGGACGAAAAATAATTGTTCTATGACCGAGGAGGAGACTGTGCGGAGGGAAGGCAAGCGGAGTAACAACTTCCCAAACCGTGTTGGCTGGTTGGGGTACTGGCTCCGGACATATTCCTCCAGGGCGCACTGGGACTTCTCCTGCAAACTTTCCACATGGGCCACATCTGAGAGGCCGCAAGCATCTGGAAGGGGGGGGGGGGGGGCAGAGAGAGGGGGGGGCAAAGCAAATAAACATTAATAAAGTGTAACCTAAAGTGTTTCTCTCACTAGGAGTTTTTTACCCCACCGTGGTGATATGGCGGAAATTGATAATCAGTCACATTTCGGGGAGAAAAGCAATTATTTTAGGAAATTATTATTATCCTATTATGTGTTGAAGTGGAGTTTATTAGTCTCGAGACTTGTTTTTATTAATAACTATAGTGCACGTATTTTTCAGTGTATGATAATTATTTTGTAATATGGCGCGAGGCGAACAAGGACTAGACCACAAATAAAAAAAGAGCTTTTTAATTTGACGGGAACTCTATTAAACAACTATGCCACATTTTAATTGCAAATCATTTTAAAGATAAAATAAGACCAGAACTTTTTTCCATACCCGACCAGAGGCGGGGAAATTCCGAGGGGTGTTCAGCCCCTCCTAATCTAGCGTTCCTCTTCTTTTTTATCGCCGCTATGTGAAGTCAATTAAAGGTGAACTAAATAATTAAGCATATTCATAGCAAAAGACTTGTGTTTCGGATGGGCCTGTCTTGCACAGTCAGAGGCATAGCGAGGGAGAGGGGAGGGGGAGGGAGAGGGAGAGGGGGGTGCGGGGGGAGACCTACTGACCTTTCAGTGAGCAGAGATTTAGCTTGGAAAAAAAAGGGCCCATAGCCTACGGAGTCGCCGTCACACTACACCGCCAGAGAGGCATAATCACTGTCTTTGCTGCTGCAATGTAGGCAGCAGCTGATTGTGTGCCAGAGCGGCTTGCGCGCGCATTGGTTAAGTTCTTAAAGTTGATGCACGACAACAAGCAAACCACCAAGGTAGCAAAGGCGCGTCTTTCAAGCTACAACGCACAGCCCACGCTCAACCTGCGGTACTCAGGTGTGGAAGAGGCAGATTACACCATTAAAGGCGTTCATGATACTATTCTATGACCTGAAATGGGATTTTTCTTCTCCCTCCTCTGAATAGGCTAACGCACCATCTCGAGAACAATAGTTGTCTGCTAGAGCCAAATGAAATACAGAGGCTGATGGCGTGCAGGTACGATTTCATCTCAAAGACATGCATTCACACATACGGTGCAAACCTTGTAAATCTCTTACACGCGGATTTCTTTTTTTTTTTTTTTTACACCCTTAAATGGTGGAGCTGATGTAACAAAATAGCGAGGAAGTTTGGGTCATGACCTAGTTCTGGAGCAGGTCCAGAGACGCCTTGAATCGTACGAGGCGAGGAGAATATTTCTGCAAATAAAAACGAAAGCCGCCCCTCCTGTCACTGCTCGACATCCCATAATACGGTTAGATTCTGACATATGGGCAATTACGATGTGGGCATTGGGGTCGTGGTGCGTTTTTTTTCCTCGGACATGTCTGTCCCTTGAATGACACGAGAGCGTTGAAACGTGCGCTCTGCTTTTACTGTGTGCAAATGGGACATTAGGCTTGTCTTTCTTTTTCAATTCCCCTCCCCCTCTGAGTCTGACATCATTTATATCTGTCATTCCCCACAAACAAGACGTGGGGTATACACACATAGATACGTGGTGGGGGGAAAGAAGCCCAAAGTGCAGCAATTCATCTGCGAACTATTGGATTCTTGAAAAAAGTGTGTTAATAATTAGATGTTATAATGCTTAAGGTTATTATTGTTGTGTTTACCTCGAGGTTATATTCTGAGGTTTCAGTCAATCTCCTGTTGTTTGGTTGTATTTTTTTTTTTAATGCCCATACTTAGTATTGTCAATTTAGCCCCGGGTGTGTATGTCTGTGTTTGTGTGATCAGTTAATTAATCCAAGCATCTTTTATAATTTCGTGGCTAAAATCTTTTCTAAAAGCTCTTGACCATAAATGTAATTTATATTGGGACATTTAAGCGGGTTGTTCATCTAAGACGAGATACATTTATGTCAGCGTTAATTTACCTGGTGTCAGTGAGCATTTTCAAAGAAACACACACACACACAACTTGGGAGTGTGCACGTCCATTGTCTTACCTGTGGTGAAGAGCACAATTGCCTTTAAGCAGCTATATTCAGCAGAGTCAACGTGCAAAGCTTTGAGCTTTTCCACTTGTTCTTGGAAGATCCTAATGTGGTCCATGAAGGCCACCACTCTGTCCGCGGACATGGGGGAGGCGTGAAGGCCAGCCGCCGCCAGGAGGGGAGCCACGTGCAGGGGCATGGAGCACTGCGCGGCGTTGAGCACAAATAACTCACTCCACGTCAACCTCAGCAGAGCCACCTGGTCGGTGATCTGAAGGTCTGGGAAGAAGGGAATATTCCTGGCCCACTCCACGGCGCTGAAGAGCATCCTGGCCGCTAGTTCACAAATGTTCTCGATGCCCATTATGTTGTTGGGCTGCATGCACTGGCTGCCGTACCGGGACGTCGGGTAGGGCTCCGCTCTCAACAGGAGAGAGATATATCCGGATAAGTAGGAATGGCAGTGCAGTGGGTCTCCATTTGTCAAGGCGAACTGACCATGGTGTGGCTGTGTGGGTGGCACCCGTCCCCTTTGCACGGCTGCAGTAAAAAGAGAAACTACAGATATTGAAGCCTGAATTCTACAAATCATCACACAATATCCTAGTGGGGATAGAGACACGCAGTCAAATATTATGCATTTTAAACTGTGCAGAAAAAAACGGAATCAAGCGCGCTCCCCTCTTGAGATAAATAAATGACACACATCATGTTTACTGGATAACAGCAGAACACACACACACACACATATTATATATAAAAAATTGCATAGGCTGAGAGGTACATCATGTAATGAAACAATGTCGATGCGCCTCAAACAATTTAACATACGTCGCCCATATGTCTGGCTTTATTTTGATGCTTTTCGGCAACAGCAACATGAGCTGGCCGCGAAGGAACACAAAGAGGGCAAGGGAGACCTTGCATGTTTAACCCTTAACCTACTTAGCAATTCATCTCGTTTTATCATACACACAGGCCTATTTTCGACTAATATTCAAATCAATTCTCGAGACCATGTGGGCACAATTCACGCTGGTATCCCGCTTCTAGAGAGAGCGAACGAGGCATCCGGGATGGATCAGGAGACGTAGCCCGATCACGCGATCCCTTAATTCGATCCCTCGCCATAACAGCGCAGGAGGCTACGTTGTATCGTTCAGTGCGGACGGATCTATGTTCCCGTGGCTGTTATCTGAATATATTCGACAAGGGGTCGGTTCTTTTATAGAGAGACGGAGAGAACTATGCAGTCGCTTGAGCCGGACACTTTAACCACAGCGGCGGAGAGGAAGAGGCAACGAGCCCCGTCTCTCCACCGCGGCGCGGCGCGGCTCCATTGCGGGCTGCCGCCCGCCGCAAGAGCCGGGGGAGGGAGCCGATCGCGGGAGAGAGAACACGCTTACACGGCGGCGACACAACACGGGTTCACGCACTAGAAGCCTGCAAAAGCACACACACACACGCGCGCACGCACGCATAAAATGTATAAAGAAAACAAAAAGTCCCAATACCTTCCCGTCTCATGCCGACTTTGAGGCATTTTTTGAGGCGGCAGTACTGGCACTGATTACGGTGGTGCTGGTCGATCGGACAATTCCTGTTGGCGCGGCATGTGTACGTGAGGTTCCGCCGTACGCTCCGCTTGAAGAAGCTCTTGCACCCCTCGCAAGTGAACTGGCCGTAGTGTTTGCCGCTGGATTTGTCCCCGCAGACCACGCACTCGATGTGCTGCGGCTGCTTCTCGGACTGCTGCGTCGTCTGGTTCGTCGGCGTGGACTGCGTGTTGTTCGGGGGTCCCTGGACCGGAGTCTGAGGGGTCGGGGGGGCCACCTGAGAGGATGTCAGATTCAACTGGCCCGGTTGAGGGGTGGGAAGAGATAGTCCTCCTTGGGTCTGCGAGGAAAGGGCGCCTTGGGTGTCAGCCACATCGTCCTGGGAGCCTCTCCACACTACCATTGCCATATCTATCAGTCAACGTAAAGAAACTTTTTGTCTGCCGTTTTGGTGTCGCGGTGAATGTCTCAATGAAACGCGGTAAAAAAAAAAAAACTGGGACTAACAGGCGGACACAACCGAAATGTCAAATCTAGCCTACGTTGAATCCACTCGGAACCTTTCCGAAAACTGTCGATTTATTGCTGTTGAGAGACGACGATGCGAATTGCGTTTTCAAAACTGATGCGATGGCGAGCTGAGTCGCTGCCTTGCGCTTGAAGGCCAAGTCCAGGGGCGCTTACAGTCAGCCATCCAGCACACCCATCAATGGGAAATGTAGGCTAGATATTAAAATAATCAGCCGAGGTAGCATGGACTGTTCAGTGGACGATGGAGCAGGGTTGGAGCGACCGTGCCTGCAGCAGCGCAAAAGCAAATTGGCGGAGCACGCTGGAGCAGCTACGATCAAGTTCCAGCGCAGTAAGTCTTGAAGAAAATCACCAACTGGGTAAAAAAAAAAAAAAAAAAAAAAATCGCGTCTTCTTCCTTTTTCTTCCTGTGAGGTAGCGCCAGCAAGCGTGCAGCAGAAGCCAATGTTTTAAGAGAGCCGGGAATATGAAGGCAACTCTCCCCAAAATATGCGAAAGCGCTAAAGAACAAAAAGCACACAAAAAAACAAAGATCGCAGCCTACAAACCTCCTCCGTGCATTGAAAAATAAGAGGAAAAAGCAGTAAAGAATGAACGTGATCAAATATGTTAAAAAGGCGGAGGTTAGGAAGTGATTTGCTATTGGTAGGAGCCGGGCTGGCAGAATGCTTTCTCTCTGATCAGCTCACTGAGCTCTCTATATAGTGAACTTTGACACGACTGCTGCAACTTAGCACACGTTACCATGGAGATCGGCTGCCATATAAGGAAGGAGAGTGTGTTTGACTGGTCAGAGCTCAGGGACCTCCCCCTGAACCCCATTGGCTAGTCGGCACTTGTGCTACTTGGTACCTTGCCAGAGCGAGCATGGAGGTCGAGAGGGCCGCTTGGTCCTAAAAGGAGACGAGTTTCGGGAAGAGGAATCCTTTCCAGTCACTCAAATAGCCCACATTGTAGAATATACTGACATTACCGGTAAAGCCTTGGCAAGTGCATTACGAAAAACACAAAATCTAAATTCAGTGTCTCGCATCGTTAGTCTATTCGTTTCCGCAAGATGAAATATCCAAATATTTTGTCCCTTAACACACAAGTGCAGCTTTAGGAACATGATCTGTGCTCATTAGCCACTGTACAACTGTCTCTCTATTTTGCCATAATCTTTATCCTTTAAGCAAGTGGACACAAAGACGGAGACACAGACAGAGAAAAAAAACACATCAGAAGAAAAATAGATAAAACTAGGCACTCCGACTGTTTGATACTCTAAATAAAGATTTTGAACATTATCTACTTCTATATATACTATAAACTATAATTTAGCAGAGAGACTCACTTGGTCAATGCACGCGTAGCCTAAATCAAAGCCACATTCTTAAAATGGTCACACACAAAAAATGCCATGTCAACTGAATGTGTAAGTCCCTATATTTGTACAGGGTAATATACCTATTAGCACTTTTATTCACGCCGCGTAGCATTCATCAGCATCCACACCTCTTGTAAAAATGTTATGATAGGCTACTGACATCATCTGGTCACCCGCTGCAGCCAGCTAATCCACCGCCGCAAACATCCCTAACACACCAGGTCACAAAGGCCATATCTGGGTCTGAAAAGTCAGAGCTTTTTTCCTTTATGTGTTCAAAACGTGAAATGACTTCAGCGCTAAATAGGGACTACGTTTTAAAGTGTCCCCTGAGGTCAAAGGCCATGGCCTTCGCATTAAGGGCAGGATGAAAGTTAAGCCACTTCCTGGTAAACAACACTATAAAGGCTGGTGTGGTCATTTAGATGCTTTACATCGCCTGTCTGATGTCGCCTCAAAACTACAGTTTGGGATGATGACAAACACATTGAGGGATGCCACAAGGTCAGTGGCTTCTCAGAGTTTCTGGCCACACGGTTAATAATGTTTTGAAGGCTTTTTAAACTTCAGAAAATAAACGGTTTACTTAACAGCCTGCGGCTTTTCTAGTTGAACTGCAGGTAAAACCTCACGGAGACACGCAGATGAACTTCCAGACTGAACCGTGTCCGTGTCCACGGAGAGAGCAGCAGCAGCAGCAGCGCGCATTGTCCTAGGATGTTTTACAGTATATGGGTGCCCCCTAGCGTATGAAGGCTTTGCTTCAAATGAGATTCAACTTAGAGAAGCCATCCGACACTGAAACCGCTTCAGTCTCTTTTGCCGCATCGAACCAAACTAACGAGCACCATGTTAAACTGATGACTGTTTGCTTAAATTCTCTTTTACATAACCTGGACGGCAAAGCTTCGAGAAGTGGCAAAGTTGGATTTACTTTTTGCCACTTAAGGCAGTTTCGGCGGCGGTATTTTAGACCAATTGTTTCTTTATTCTGAAAGCAAACGAGGCGATTCTAGGTCGTCTGAATGACTATTTTGTCGATTTTATTTACAGGACTCGTGAGAAATTGAAGAGCCTGTAAATAAAAACACTCCGAAAAAGGGTATTCGTTCACCGCGGATCCAGCGCTCTTCCAATGGTAAGTATACATTTTGCACACTTTATTAGGATGAATCGGAAAATGAAAGGACTATTTCTGTGCTCTGTGTTAAAATTGTCATTCTACAAAGCGGGCAGGAGTATCCATAGAAATAAAGAGACATACTGCTGCAGAAAGAGCATGAATATATTAGCGCAAATATGGGCTTCGGTGTTTCTATGCGCATTGAGAACGGTCGTTTTCGGTTATCATCCAAGTGTTCATTTCTAAGAGGATCACATTAAACCCCAAAACTTTGCAAATATCCATTAATCACGTTATTTGATAGTGACAGAGAGGCAGGAGGCTGTATCCTTATAGTAACAGACCTACCAAATGCATACGTTGCTTGGTCCGTAGCGGGATGCATCTTCTCTCGCTTTCAGAATATATTTTGTCTTCTCTTTTTCGACACAGTGCTGAGAATGAAACTGGCAAAGCTTCCTCTCCAATAGACGGGATCAAACACAAAAAAACACGCTGTTTATTGGAGAATTTGGCAAATGTCTGATCATGCAAAAACTTTGGATAGCCGGAACACACACAACTGATTCACGTCATGTGTTGATCGATGAATTCGGAATATAAATTGCGGTGTCTTCCGAGCAGCGGATCATTTGACTGCCTCTGGAAATGATACGTAGGCTTTAGCAGCAAAGCAGAGAGATCCTGTGCGCCTTTTCTCTCCTACAGTGATGTGCCCAAAACGCGCCTGTGCGCCGCTGCTTTGTGTGGGCTCTGAAGAGAGAGGGAGGGGAGGGGGGGGGGGTGGTGGGGAGAGAGGAGGGGGGGGCAGTACAGACACCTGTCTTTTAGTGGGGGGAGCAGGCATTGGGAGAATCCGCATATTACTAATTATATTTGAGAATGGAAGAAAAGATGCAATAAAGACTGTGATAAAGCTGTTATTAAAAACTGCCCGAATTTGAATTCATTGCAAAAAAATAAAATAAAAATCATATGCTTAAATGGAGACTGTAAAACAGCACTGACTATATTGTGATATTATCTTTACTATCCTTACTATTAGGACTAATTGGCTTTAATAAAGAAATAAAGAAATAAAAATCACTGCATGACATTTAAGACACACGCGACCAAATAAACAATAATATCGGCTATTTTTACAGCTGCATTTGAAAGCAATAACATTATGCAGATAACAAGAACGCCTTTTTAATAAAATGATAATAGCCTCAATTAACCTCTCGTAAATCTGCACTGCGTTGAAAAATTGAGGACATTTTTCCATCTCAAACATTTCCCCATCCAGCACAATTGATTTGCTACTAAACGACATCCAAACCTATTGTGCTGCAGTTTTGATTTGCCGGTTTTAAAAGTTTCCTCCGTGTGATTAGTGGTTGTTCTCCCTTCGAGCCGAGGATAAAAGCACGACATGCTCAGCGAGCTTGCATGAACACAACAATAGGCTGCCCAACGGGACCGGTATCGATTGAGACCAGACAGAGGATGTCGTCTGCACTAAATATTTACTGATCACACACACACACATAGGTGGATCTTTAACGATTCCCCATGCTCCGGCCGGGAGAAAGGACTAAATCACTTTATTATTGCTAGAAAAACAAAGCACACGCTCTGGAACACAGAAGTGGGAGATGTGCTGATTGGGATAAGTGCAGTTAAATGAATCGATAGCGAGTAGATAATAGTTGAGATTTAAAATGCTTTCGCGCGTGTATCAGGTTGAAAGCGACACGTGTACTACTGCTACTGGTAATTTCTTTTCGCACGGCAACGCGCGCGCGCGCGCACAGGTGAAAATAGGGGGGTAAAAAGTGGCAGCGACCTGCGTATTCACCCGAGCGTTAAACAAACGATTTGAAATAGAGGATTTGCAAACAGCAAAAAAATAGTGAGGGTTCGCTGCAAGAAATCCTTCTGGCATTGGTGTGAAACGTCATGACCGTAAAAGTAATTTAATCTCCTCTCCGGCTTCACCAAGTTCTTCATGGAGATAGGGGGATATTGACCCGGAGGTCTCCTAAGTTCCCAGCCTGATTAACCCCTCCGAGCCCGCGCGGTAGCAAATGTTAACCAGGCTAATCAGCTTCAAGAGGCTGATTGAATTATATTAATGTGGAATCGGCAGAGAAACTACATTCTCCCCACTTAAAAAAGAAACGTATGAGGAGAAAGCTTTTTTGGTGACTCAATTAACATGAACTATTAGGGGGGAAAAAAGAATGAAGAAATCAATTCCAGATAGCAGACAAGACTATTTCAATAAAAGGGAAATGTTTTAGTTGTTTTCTAGAGAACAATTTTCCATATTCAAGACTCTTTAACCGTCACAAATTGTTTTTTTTTCTGATTGATAAAGATTAGTCGATCGATGTTGTTTTTGTCCCATATTTCAGTAGTTTAATCTGCTGCATTGCATATGATCAATCGGTGCCAAAGGCTTTCTACTTTCTCTCTCTCTGCAGCATCTCATTGCGCTGCTGTTTGAAGGCAAAGAAAAAACTGGTCCAATAACTAAAATGTGTGCGTGTACGTTTGGCTTCATAACCATGTTACCTGACATCATTAATGTTTCAAACTGTTTCTGTAGAACTAAAAGAATGAATAAAACATAAGGGGAATCTTCTCATATCACAATATTCTAACACTTAAATTAACACAACATATTTGACAATTATGTGGGCATAAAATGATTTTGTTCCCTTCACGCTGCTGTCATCTTAAAGCACATTGATTCTTTCGATTTGACTTTCCTTCTTTGTGGTTGAATCCTGACTTTTGTATGACTTGTCCTTTAAATTATATTTGTGTCTGTTTTCAGAGTACGTAATTACAGAAAATTGCATTCCATTATCACAATTAAAACCCTCTTTTTGTAAATATGGCGTGTGTGTGTATTATTTAATTGTATGCATGCACATGTACAGAGGCACAGTGTGTACAGTGAGATAAGAAATGTGTGTATTCACCTGTTAATGCTTCAGTCTTAGCAGACATATGTGTCTTAGATGAGACGTATAGAGTTCATTCAGTGGCGAGGATCACTCTCACTCCGTCTGTGTGCCCCAGGGGACACTATCTAAAAAGGCAATAGATCCCAGATAGCTCACTGTTTGATTTGCCAATGATAGATTATAGTGCCAATTTAAACAGATAGGGATCAATTTGTCTCAATGATCACTCTCTAGGCTGACTGCCAGCATGCTCTTAATGTATTTGTAAATGCTAGTTGTTTAAATCGCGGCTGTTGAAGTGATCAAAACAGTAGAGCGGAGAGATGAGAAATGATAAATGATGCGTTGTTTAGGCTGCGTTGATGGAGCACACGTGATGATTACTTGAGGCAGCGCCACTGCAGCGGCAATGACCAGAAGGTCAATGGTTTAACTCCAAGGACTCGCTGGGAAAGTCTGGGCGGAGGAATTGTGTGATAAGGGCTCTCTGACCCTCAGGAACTACCGCTGAAGTACCCTTTGGCAAAGCAGCTTTAAACTCCATCTGTCCCAGTGGAGCTGCACGGCGACTGGCAGCATACGAGACGGCAGTCGGACCCGGGCCCTTGAGAGACATGTCTCTTTGAGGGTGACCTACCCGCCCTTTTCTCTCTTAAAGAGGGAGAGTGGGCAGTCCACTCGCCGCACACCTTCTTCTCCCTCCATGTACTCAGACAGTGAGAAAGTTTTGAAGACACAAGAGAGAGAAAGCTGTGGCAGCATTCAGTCCGGAGCCAGACACGGTTCACATGTGGCCCCAAAGGCAGCAGACGGTGTATTGAATTACTGTAACTCAAGGTGTAATGTGGGAGCAGTGTGGGATCTGTAAGAATTACACAAACGGAAGCAGGGGCGGCTTATTTCAGCCTCGGCTCTCTGTTGCAGTCATTTAATGTTGAATTCTTTGGTTTATTTTCTTAAATATAAGCCGTAACCATTCATTGGTTCAAATATCATCCACACTTTTTTTTACAGTGATAATATCGTTAGATTTACCAACTACATCAAACTTCTATTTAAACAAACGCACAATTAGGAGAAAACACTTGCACAATGTTGGATAAACTTAAAATCTAATTATATTTTGTGTTTAATTAAAATGGGAATTTTCAATGACCAATAATGTTTCAAGACCTCATATTATTATTATACTATTGTTGAGCACTTCAATTTCAGGAATGAATTATTCCAGTTTTACCATGATAGTTTCTTCCATTCTAGATTCTAGACATAAATAGTATTGCACCCAAGTTTCCTGAAATATAAAACTAGCTGAAACGACCACAGCAACAGAATATATCTTAGTCCCACTTACCCGTTCCCTGCATGAAGACTCCGCGCTGAGAAATCGATCATGCTGACATCTTTAACATGATAATTAATTTTTCTGTGAAAGTGTTGCAGCTGTATGATTATGAACAAAAGCAGTCTGTGAATATGGACAATTCGAACTACGTCTCTCCTTCCACAGGTAATGTTTTAGCACAGGCGAATGGATCATTCATGATGTATAATAGCAAATATTCACGCAAATCCAAAATAAATGGTCATTTGAGCCAATGGAGGGAATACAATACGAGTGGGACTCGGTAAGAATGAAAAACAGAAGACATCTTGGTGCGAAGATGACCTCAAGGAGACAGTCAATCAAAAAGAAAACAGGAATCACATATACACGGGACTCCGGTTACCTTCTCATCTCAGGGACACACACACGAGCAGGTTCTGGAGCTCACAACAAGAGTCAATACTCGCAGGATGATGTCATCAGATCCAAATCTTGGACTTGTTTCACTGGCAATAAACTCAGAGGGGATTTGCCGACATGTGATAGTGCTCAGAGGTTAGAGAAAGACATGACTTAATGTGCTCTCAAATACAACGTAAGGACTAAACAGTATTTGTTTGTAATGTTCCAGTTCATGAGTCCTGTAATTGACTACTGGGATCAGTAAGGTGTACAAGTACACACAACCTTTATGTGTTTCATGTATTTATTTTCAAGTGACGTGTCCCATAAGTGCAGCAACACTTTTTCCTAAACACACAATTCTTATACTGTGTAACCATCTTCATAAACAAGTGGAATAATCACAATACTCTGCATTATGACCCTGCACAATAGTCTATACTTATGCACAAATTAAAACAAATAGTAAAACGTGTTAGAAGACAGGACATTGACGGCAATTAGAAATGTGAACCCACATAAAATACTTGTGGCTGAATGCACTCGGTTGAGTCACATTGAAAGAATTACATCTGTGAGTCAATCGACGGGCGTCATAGAGTTGTAAACAGCCATCGGGGCTGTGAAGCGCTATCTGTACAGCCGTAGCATCTGGTATAAATAAACTGGGAGGCATTAAAGCAAACAAAGACCAACAAGGAACTTATTAGCTGGGCGTATAACCCAGCAAGAAACAAGTCTATTGGATAATCACCACCGTCTTTGTACTAAAAACACACGTGTTATAAACTGGTGTCATTCCTTGACAACAGCTGGCAAAGGACTATGTGGCCTTTGGCAAAAATCATGAAAAAGAGGGTGGCCACACATGGTTGTGTTGTCTGAAGTTGAGAAGCCTCTTCTGCCTTGAAAATGAAAACTCTCAGAAGGGAAAAATAACAACACAAGCTTTCAGTCGGTGCCCATGAAGGCTCGGGGCCGCAGTGCACTGGTACTGATGTGGTAGAGGATTGCGATCCACATCTCAGTCCTCTCTTAGTTTAAAATCACGTTCTAATTCTTATGACTTTCTTGTGTTTTGATAGGGATTTATTCTTTGGGGTGATTTGCCTCCTCAACAAGGCGCAATCCACCGCATTTCCCTTTAAGCAGCTCTCAACAGAATCCCAGCGCTAGCAGTCCAAATTAGGGTAAAAACGAGAAGTAGCGGTGCTAAACCGTCCTGCCATCCCTGCAGTGCAGAGTGGCATGCTCACATGCACAAACCTGTACTAAATGTCAACAAAGCATAGAGAAGCTCAAAGTCTCTGCTCAGGTAAACCACACAGTTGACTACAGCAAGCAGATGCTGTGCTGAATCCTCTATATGACATCTTTAAGGAAGAACGTGAAGAGATACTGTGCGTTAGTGCATTGCTTACCACAATGTGGCTGGCAGATGTTATGTGCCTGTGTGATTTTTGTACCCACTTGCCAAACGTAAGAACCCCTGAGACAACTCCACACCGTACTATTGACAAATGCATACTGCATGTACAGTAGAGAGAGAGAGACACACACACACACACACACACACACACACACACACACACACACACACACACACACACACACACACACACACAGGCACATACTGACTAGCTCGGTCATTCCAGTACAACCAAAGATATTCTATAGCTTCAATAATCTGCAGTCTGATCATTTTTCATCCATAAAGCTATTAACTATAATGGTCAAGGTAATAATATTTCCATGTCTTATTTCACAGGGAGATTGATGGATGTTCAGGTCATTAGACAGCTCGTGTTAACCAAACTTTTGGCTCCATTTCTTATCCAGATTTTCTTAGAATCTTAGACTCTTAATAGAGGGTGTGACCAAAAAAACTTTGAACAGGGGGGATTAGGAGCATAACCATGTTATAATATTTGTCTGAACCGACCATTTAAACAGATCCATACAGTCAGTATTTACACACATTATCATTAATTACAGCAGATTGAATAAATGAATATAGAAAAAACATCCTTTATATGCCCATTTTTAAGTGCCCCTTGCAATGATGTGACACCTTGATCACATGATATCAATACCTTTGTTTACTTCTGAGCTGGCTTTGCCCAAATTCAACTATACAGATAAAAAGGTGGTGTCTGTGCGTGAAAAAATATCCAGTTTAATCAAACAGAATATTGTTTGCAGCTCAAGGTGAAAATATAACCATAAACTATACTGCAGCCTATAATAATATGGGTTCACATAACCAGGCTGCAAAAAAAAGCCCCAGCCATTTCATCAAGCTAATTGCCTGTTTGTGAGAGGGAGCAAACTTTTCGACCACCACTCTATTATGGAGGCTCTTTCTTAATCATAAATAGAGCCCTTGTATCCCAGAGGGACTTGCTATTCTAATTTACAATTGAACTGAAGACCAAAACTATCAATCTTTCACAGACACTTTATTTCTAACCCCCTCTCTCTTGTAATTGTGGTGACATAACCATAAACAACAGAGAAAAGGCTGCTGTGACTGATCTGTGGAAATGACAGCATTAACACATGAGCTGCACATAAGCACTCCCATCCGTGTGCACGTGATTGTGAGCACACACATCAGTTAGGAATTTATAGTTAGGGCATGCATGGAGTGACACGGCCTTAAAATTGATATCAAGTTGTCAAGACCTCTTACTGGCATGTGAGGATTTTAAAGCATAATAAGCTTTAACAGTCTGAACCTAAATTGCACAAAATACAACACATTTTGGGGAGATGTGTGGACTCAGATACCTTCAAATAAATCTTTGTGCTACTTAGGATTAAGGGTCTATTAGTAGTAACTAATGGACAAATTTACGGTTATCAATACTAATCAGACACTATACAATGTATACAACAACAAGAGAAGCGACGAGGCGCCGCCACGCTCTCATGCTGTCAGCGTGCCGCCGTGCACACAGAGCCGCGGTCGCATTCCTGCTCGCAGTGGCGTTGCAGTGGCACCGCCGCCGCACCGTGCCTCCGTGACGCCGTTAACGACGAGGCTTTTCGTTAATGAGTTAATGCAAAAACTCTCAATGTCATCTCAAAGATAAGATGGGAGAAAGCGTGCATTGTACGCATAATGACAGGCTCCCCGCCTGCCCCCGAGATGTCACGGGTCAGCCATGTTAAGAATGTGTGTGCCCAATCATCCA